TTGTTTTGTAGTAATTGACTTACAAAACAAATGTACAGCACAACATTTAATCAAAACCATTTTAACAGTATTTTATAAATTAGAGTACAAGCTAAATAGAGAGATTAAGATGGGTTGCCACCAGCAGAGTTCCCATTAGTCTACCACGTGGTCTGCTGGTGGGTGACCTTACACTCTCTCATTTTGACATAAATGTTATAAATTATACACGTTTAAAATTAATTAAACTTTTTCAAACACAACATCCTTCAGCACACTGCTTAATTGGTGCATGAGCAGTGCTCCAGAAAAACTTCTCGTTGAGACTAGTTTTGCTTTAAAAAAAATCCAGGGAGCTTTTTCTGGCATGACCCTAAATCTCGGCCTTACTGTGGTCTGGCTTCGAGGGGTTTCACCGGAATGTAAAAGCAAGTCTTGCGTAGAAAACATTTGTATTGTGGGAATAAACGTTTGGCTACATGTGTGTGCGCATTAATGCAGTGGGGGATGCTTGCATAGTCATGGGACTGGCAACGGAAAAGCACTCTCGCAGTACGTAGTGAGCACTCGCATTTAAGGTGACAGAATTTGCGTGTACAGTATTTATAAACGCAACAGGCACCCCCATAGCGAACATGATCCATGCAATAGGGATGCGTTTATTGTAATTTGTGATTTGGATATCGAGATAAAGGAATTATTTGCATTCGTAAGAAAAAAAACTCATTCATCAATAACCATGTCGTGAAGTGGGAAAATTTCTATGGTTGTTTTTTCATTCAGTAGCCTGCCACATTTTAGGCCATAGTCTTCATAGCTACGAAGAAGGGCTATGAAAAAGGGTCCATTGCCTGAAACGTCATGAGTTATGTATTCTTGTCCATGGCAGTTATTTATGAATGCGAGTTTTTTTTGTTTAATTGTGCTTGTGCAGTAATGCCCATGCAGTATCAAATTTGTAGTTTTTTTGCATTAACTTTGCAGAATTTTTGTTCTGTACTGAAACAAATAATATCGTTTGCCTTGCATATTCTATCTTCAGTTATATGCATGAAGTTGCATTATAAATCCAAATTGTTTCGTTGCTGTATTAGCAAAAAGCGCCCTGTGTCAGTTGAGCAATACTGCTGCTGAATGGAGCCAGAAGGTGGCACAAATCTGCTGGATGATTTTTTTTTTACCCAGCCAAGAAGTCCATCAAATCACACCTCCTTGTCTGGCGAGACAATGCCTGTGGCCATGCATATCTGCTTCCAGTGGTAATGCAGCCAAATGGGGTGCCACGGTGGCGAGATGTTAACGATCTCGCCTGGTTTTGCAGGCGGTCGTGGGTTCGATCCTGACGCCTGTATATTTGTATAGTTTGCAAGTGCTGCTCGTGGCCGTGTGGATTTTTCTCTAGGGTCCTCCGGTTTTCCCCTCCACATTTAGAAACATGCGTTTAGATTATTTGGCTGCAATACATTTCCACATGATAAGCCCCTTTGAGCTATCATTTGTGGCCAGGTCGCTTCTGAAAAAGAGCTATATAACTCAGTGATAAAATTTTAATGCAGACAATTTGGCTTTTCTCAATTACTGAAATGCCTATGAGCATTTGCAAAAGAAACCTATATGTTTTGTAGAAGTGTTTGAACTTAAAAAAATACCTCTGTACCTTGAAAAGCATATATCGAATACCAGTGTGACACCTTTCATTTGGAGCTAAACCAGGTAGTGCCACTTTTAGAAAGAAAAAAAAGTGCTATTACTGGAAAGTGCAAGGCCAAATTAAGTACAGTGGTCGATTTATGTCGCTTTAAAAAACCCCGACATGCAAGCACATGACAAAGACCCTTTAAACGCTGCGACAGAAAGCAGTTGGTGCTCTTTGTTTCTGGGACTCCCCTCTGAAACGCCATATTTGCTGGATCAAGGGGCAACGCTAAACGGCCCACGTTTAAAGGTTTTCGGTCTCTCTGATGTCTGTGCGTACTTTGTAATGCCAAATGAAAAAAAGAAAAGGGGAGGGCAGAGGAGGAGACATTTATAGTCTTGTCTGTAAAGGTCTCTTCGACTCTCCCAGGCAGCTTAACTGTGAGTGACAGATTTTTTGTACCTGCACATCACTGCAGCCGAGCGTTTGATATGCTTATGACATTGATGTTTCTGACCTACAAAGCACGCCAGCGAAAATCAATGTCCAGATGAAGAATTGTGTGTTCTCTGCCATGCTAACGCACTGCAAACTTTCCTCCTTAAACTTCGGGGCTTGCCCAGTGTTAAGTGCTCTTACCGGATTCATACAGCAAATTGGTGGCCTCCTTGGCTGACGGCAAAAACAGTGTTTAAACATTATTTAAGAGAATGCGTTTTTGCAGCCTATTATAAAAAGGGCAAAGCGGCTACCTGGCCCTATTATTAACTCCTTTATCCACTGAACTTGGCTGCTAAATTATTTAGCGGCACCGAAGCAACCACTACCTGCTGGGAGGCTTTCCTGAGCCAAACGGGATTTTGTTACTTGAACCATTCCTCCTTTCTTCCATCGCATTTTCTCCGAGGATCTTTGCAAGGACACCAATTTGCTTTTTTTTCCTTTCTAAATTGTTCAGTTTTCTGTGTCGGTCCTCAACAGGATGCAGGAGGTGCAGATTGCTGGGAGCAGTGGAAGACCGACTTGAAGTGCAACTTCACCGTGTTTATGTCTCAAAGCCAGGTTTGACATGAGCTCAGCGACATGCAGGAAAAAAGGTTGCGCATGATACGATTACGAAACATTCAGGATTTATTTTTACTCAAATGTGACCTTGCTGAGTCCTGGGACCTGGGACCTGCTAATCACCAGTGAAGTATAGTTCAACCTAAAACTGTAATTTTGCAATATCATTATACGCTGCAACAACAGGAACACTTGGCGAATAAACTTTGGTGTTGAAAAATATGCCTCCAGCTTGATTTGTGGTCGCTCTGAAGTTTTGAAAACACTGTAAATGTTTGTTTAAATATTAAAATAATTGAGACGAATTAGGACTTGTACGCAGACTTGCTTGGAAGGACTGTGTAGTAGCTGCTGTGAATCTGATATTAAATACCATCCCAAACCCCACTGCTTTGTCATTGAGAGTAGTGGACGTGTGGTGGAACATTCATTATTGTGTCGAGCATTATCTCAAACAAATAGCATTGGGTGATCCAGTCGTGTTCAGAAGTACGGTACAAAAAAAAACGAATTAGAATAACCAGCATCATCGGGCAATTCGCCATTCTGCATCATTCTGGCGAATTGCCCGATGCTGGATGCAATTACCAGCGAAACGTCGTACTCAAATTGTAAATGTTGTGGTTTCACGCTTCAACACACCGGTGGGCTAAAGCAGTGAACTATTTGTCTTTTGTCAACGTGACACTTTTTTACTGATTGGCCGTGTCGGGTGGTGGTGGGTTACGACACATTTATAAATAATGCGATCTAAACCCAAAAACGTTGATTATGAATAATATTGGTCGCGAAAGCCTACGTGTTAAACAGATTAAGAACAAATAAATAAGAAATATGAATTCATTGTAGATCCACCGGGCAGCAGTGTCTTCTCCATCTATGTTAAGCCCACTCTTGAAGCCAAGTGAAAAAAAGACAAATTTAATTTCTAAAAAGGTCAAAACAAGCAGTGTTATGGTTTCCATAGATGTATGAAGTCCAAAAAAATAAAAGAGCTATTTTTTTAAAAGGAACATTTATGAAAAGTTTCACATACAAATCATTACAGTGTGGGTATGAAGCATGTTACAAAGTTAATAAAAATTTAAAAATTGATAACGTATAAAAATGAAGCAAAAAAATAGGCTTTTTAAAGGGACACATTAAAAATTGCCAAGGACTTGTGATTTACAACCTTCAAAAGTATTCTCAATCAATCACACTACAAAAAGGCAGATATATGTATTACGTACATGCAGAAAATGAACCTCATTTCATCATGCATAAATAATATATGCTAAGACTTTTTCTCCCCCCATGGGCGGAATTGCTCCATCAATCCTGGGCTCCCTGATTAAGGCAGACTTTACTACTAACTCTGTTAAAACCTGATTTAGCGTTTGTGTGCACCACTCCTTCATTTAGCGGCCCCCGCTGGCCGGCACAAGTTGCAGCCATGTTTCATATGTAACGGAGCGTGCAGTGTCCCTTATTGCACAGTTTAGGCTGCACAAAATGGGAAGCAATTTGTATGATTGGCCACCGGAAGCTGTGCTCTACCTAAACAGGATTTTCATTGTATGTAACCAGTGAAAGGCGCACCGTGATCGTTCCGGATATATTTCACAGCGTCTTGACGCGAAAGGAGACTGCTTACAACGAGTGCACACCGGCCATGGGCAACAACCTGCCCCCGGACCTAATTTAACAATCAATTGCGAGAATAGGTAAGTAAGGCATGCATTCTGTGCATTGCAATTGATCCAAACTCAATCTGGTCCTGTCCCCAGAGCGCAATTGGACCATTCACAATGCCTGAAATGTGCTGTTCACCTGCCCGGTTTTAACAATTCAACATTAATTAGGGAACCTGCCTATTACCCGTGTACAGCATTCTTCCGAGGCGCTCCTTTGGGAAAGCACTGGTGGCGTTTTCCACCTTTTAACAGTTTGTATTGAAAAAAAAAATGATAGCGCGAAATATTTTTGGCAATAAAACAGTTTATTTCAAAAGTTTCTGCGGCCAGTAAAAACGTTTGTCCTCAAAGAATGTAGTGCTTTGCAAGAAAGTATGTATAAAAGAGATAAATTGCATAGAATTGTTTGTCGTACCTGTGTTTTGTAACAATTACACGAGGTCTACATTACAAAAGTCATCGTTTACAAAAGGTACTTTGATATATTTGCAGTTTGTCATCAAGAAGTAAAAAAAAATCAAGCCTCGGACACCACAAGCAACTCGTCTCCTAGAATCGCACAGACTGCAGTCGTCGCTACGCAGGATGCGCTGGCCTCCGCAGCCGGCCCCCCCTCTTTACGCGCCACGCCGACTGTCCCCCCTGCTGTCCGCCGCCTTCACCACCTTTCCCCTCTTCACCCCCCCGTCACGAAGGCGGCTACGATGAGGGCAGCTTGGCACGCGTCGAGAGGACCTCGGATCGCGCTGACGACATGTTGTAGGAGAACTGGCGTGGGTTGTTGACAGCCTCCAGCAAGTCGCCATCTGAGAAAACGCATAGGAGGAGAGGAGAGGGGTGGGGGGCACGCACAGATTAAACGATAATCAAATCAAGGCACGGCATACGTAGAAATACTACTCTGACTTGTGATGCGTGCTGTTAGCATTTTGTAGATGGCCTATACAGAAGATATTTTTCAGATATGCAGGTGATCACTTGGTGCTTGTTTTTTGCCACACTGCAGACGAGTTCCCAGTGGTGACGTTCGCCGCAGTGAATCACAGTCCGCTTGCATCCATTGTTCACATCGAGCTTTGTTCTCAATTGGATCCAGCGATGGGAGGGGAGGGGGTCGTGCTGGCGGCATGCATATGCAGCGTCACAAATGTCTGTGTTAAGTGGCAAGGCTGGTGCTGTGTAAACTAGTTAATGAGAGTTGCCTGCAGCTCTATCGTGGCAAGGTGGTGAACAAATGTTTGCCCCAAACCATCAACTATGGGAGTTGCCATTGCCCAACAGGACATATGATCTGACACTCATGGAAGCATTTAGTGGCTTCCAGCTGTACGTGCAGTGAATTGTCTGCACTTGCACACAACGGCGCTACAGGGACACGTGTGTGCACTGTATCAAAACGGCCAATCACATTAAGGTTTCTGACAATGCTACTGAATTTTTAAAGCATTGAAAAGTGTTTCGCAAAGAATGGCTGAGCTTATTTTGCTCCTGTGTGGTTAATAAGGACAAAAAAAAACGAGACGAAATGTTTATATATTCATCTGGAAAATGTTTGGAGATTTTCAAAAATGTTACATGATGTAAGCAGCATCATATAACATAGCAAAAATATCACGTGAACTCGGCAAGCAGCAGTGGGAAAAAGTGCTGAAATGTGTGGCAACAATTTAGTGTTTGCTTCATTTATATTCCCTCCCTGAAGTTTTAAAATTGTTATTTGAAAAAAAACACAAATCTAGCAGCTTAAAGTATAATTATGACAATTCCATTTGAAACCTGGTCTTCCAAGTTATACCATTTCTTTGGACATTTAAATAAGAAAACAATATCCCTTTTGATCATGCAAAGTATCCAGATTAACCTTACCCCCTTCTTGTGAAATTAATCATTCCTGTGAATTAGTACATAAGAATGATACACGGATTCAAATCCTCAAATAAATTACATAATAGAAAGATCAATGGGAAATATGTTTTTGTAAATCAAAAGAACATTAAATGAAAATACTGCAAAGGGAATTGTGTGAATGCAATGGGGTGGTGTTGAGTGACAGCGAGTAAGCGTCTTAATCGTGGGTATGCTGTGTGATGTGCAGTTACGAGGTAGACACATCGCAATGTGTGTGTGGAGCCACGACTGTTGCCTGATTAAGCAGTGGGCCACATACACGCGGAACAGAAGAAAAAAACACCCTCCCCCTGCATATTCAGAGTTCGTTGCTGGCCTGCTTAATTTGAATGGGCCGACATTTAGATGACAGTCTGGTACGGATAAAATATGTTCTGTGTGGGGCCCGTGGTGCTGCAGTGCACAAACCTGACACAGCCTCGCTGGCAGTTTCCTCCCGAGGTGAAAATCATTCAGGCTATTAAGCATGGGCCCCCTAACTGCCTGACAGTTCCTGAGTAATTAGCCAATTAACGATCAGATGTTGCCATCTGCAAATGACAGTAAGGCCCTGCAACTGTTGGGGAGGGTGTGAGTGGGGGGAGGGTGTGAGTGGGGGGTGGGAGGAGGGCGAGTGGGGTCTGGGAAGGTGGGGGCAATCCATGCTGGAATGCAGGCCACAATACGCTTGGCTGGACATGTGGGGCTTCTGGCTCTCATTTTATGATTCATTCAAAGCTGCTCCTCCTCCGCTACATACATTACATCCTTCCCTTCGAGCTCTGGAAGTGCTGCTTGTTCAGCAGTGAACACTAGTTTTTGGGGGGAGCTACGGGGTTCTGGGTTTATCAGTTCTGTCACCGAGGGGGCTGACAGTAGCTTAGCTGGTGGCAGAGATGTACTGTTGTAAATGCCATCTGCCCAGTACCATTAAGTTAATATATACATTTACAGATGCGACTTGGCATTTTGACCTGGCAGATGATTTGACAGGCCTGCAATTGTAGCCCTTGTAAAATTGCATTTGCTACTTAACTATTTTGGTAACCCCCACATTAATTCATGAACCAGCATTATTACCCATATCTGTCACATGAAAACAAAACATGAAGTGTTGAGTTTAACTAAGAATACGGATTAATTACCCAGGGAACCAATTTTTTTCCCAATGAAAACAAAATCCTGTGAATATTTAATCTCAACCAATTAATTACTCATTAGCAAAGAGCTCCAGTTTAACCAGTTCTCGTTTCGTTGCCACTTTGGTTATGGCTGCGTCAAAGGTGCCCGCCTCCTAATTATATCACCACCGCTCCCCCACGATGCGTCTACCAATGTTTCACATTTTCACGGAGAAAAGCCATCGCGTCGTTCCTGGGCTGCATCGCCGCTGTGCGAGCGCGCAGCGGCCGCACGGTGGCGTGAGCTCAGATGAGTGCCACTATGATGGAGTGTTAGCACTCTGCCCTTGGCTACAACCTCCCCTGACATGTAATAGAGCCCGGGTGAAATAAGCAGCTTCCTCCCACCCAACGCTGCGCCCATAAAAACCTATACAGAAACAAACTGTTTACAAGCGTGCTTAGCGTGGACCCGCGAGGCCTGGCTGCCTGGGCATTCATCATAGTCAGCCATCCGCCTTCTTGCCCTCATTCTGTGCGAGCGCAAGTGCCTTGTAAAAATGCTTTATGTGTTTCCGTTTTAAAGACAAGACATGCATGTTCATGGACTATGACTGCAGCAAAGCACTTGACAGCACTGTTATGGACTTAGTACTCATGCTGAAATACACTCGGCAGCGTGGCTAGACACACACATATTAAATAGCCATGTACGTCTCCATAAAAAGGTATTCCGGCCTGACGGGAGGGCATTTATTGCTGTACATAATGTCAAGACAGTGCCTGGGAAGGATGCAAATTATCTTTCCAACTGTTTACGTAGGCAGTTTTTATTCGGCGAGGAACAAGTTTGGGCATTCGGAAAGTTGCTGTTTTTGTCTACGTGCATTGGGGAAGCCAAAATGAACAGCTGTTTCCAAATAAACCCTTAAGAATTTAAAGTGAGGCCTGGCCCCACTCGTTTGACGCAAAGAGTTTTACATTTTTCTTATAAAAGGAGAAAACCCGCAGCACGAGTAGTCCAAGTCCACAGAGTGTGACTCCCAGTGACATTCCGTTCACCTTGTACACGCACACGCAGCATGCAAGAGTCTGACGAAGGCAGAAACCACATTGCGGCCCATAAAACAAACGCCGCAGCTTCATATAATGCCCGGTGCAGTGTCATGTATTGGAAGGTCACAGTCACGTCATGTATTCTGGATTAGGTCATTGGACAAAAGACAATTCCTAAACAAGATGACCATGTACATTCATTCACAAAAAAAATACCTAAAATACCAACAACACTGGTTCACTGTATGGGAATTTTCTACAAACCGTATTTCCTTGCAGAGCCAATGCTGACGTGGTCATGTGCAAGACTTACAGGAATCTGGAGACGTACATCATGTTAAAGCCTATTTGTTCATTGGAGAATAAATCTGTTGTAGAAAAGTAAAACATAATTTTCTAAACGTTTCGAATGCTCAATGCTCTACTTACGATTGTTGAATTGCCCAAAACACCTCTTTTTCACACGCCTCGTTGATAGACAAATGACAAAGTGGTTATAATAATTGTAAAAAAAAAACCCAGTCTGCATTCATTATAAATTGGGTCTCTAGGGGACATGGACAAAATTTGCTGGGGGGTGCTGCTGCTGCTCCAGGCAAGAGCAGAGGGGTGTGCGCGTGTTTGTATGTATGTGTGCACGTGCTTGTGTGTGTGCGCGTGCTGTATGTGTGCGCGTGCTTGTATGTGTGCGCGTCTGCTGTGTGTGTCTGCTTGGGGGAGCAGTAGTGTAGCAGGTAGCACACGCTGCACTACGAACCCGGCAACCCGAGTTCAATTCCCGCTCACGGCCAACACCAGTTACGATTATTTGAACCGGTCCTGGGCCTCCCCAAGGTCGACTCGGCCTCAAATGAGTACCTGGTGCGGTGTGTAAACATCGCCACTTGGGAGACAAAGGCGACCGGGAGTGGTGCTGGCACCCATCCCCTCGTGTGCCTTGCCGGCCTTCATAGGTGCTTGCTAAGAGCGCTTGCCCCAACAGCCTGTGCAAGGCTATACAGGGGACCTTTGTCTTTGTGTGTGCTGGTGCCTTGTGTGTGCAGTGCGCTATTCGCTTCCACAGCTGTGGCCAGGGAGACTCACGCCGGAGCCTGACTGAAGGAGAAAGGTGCAGCGCAGGGGGCAGCAAATTCTATTTCGCAGCGATGACATCGTGAATAATTTAGAACGCCACACTCCAGCGAAGATATAGACAAATATAAATTCACACCTGCTGCGACACCCTTCAAGCTACGGGAACCTCTCAATTTTAATACCCAGCAAACTCCATCAATGACCCACCGTCACCTGTAATCTGAAGGACTTCCACTTCATTCGCAGCAAGTTTGTCTTTACGCCGAGCGAAGCCTATCCAGCCTGCGTGCCGCTGTGCCTCCCTCGCACACCGAGTAATATCACATTGTTTTTGCAGCATAACAAAGCCTAATATTTGGGGGATTGGGAATACAGTGAAGCGAGAGCACAATCAATAAAACATAGCCTCTAATCCGCATTCAGTATCCAAATCCTCCCCGCTCCGTCTGGAGAGAGCAGTATTCCCTTGAATATGCATCGCCCTGCCAATACGCATTTGTGCCACAATGTGTTTTTGTGCTCTTGCGAGTGTGCTGCCAGAGCAATAGGCATGAATGCATATTTGTGCAGCGCCGTAAGATTTCACAAGCACGGTGTCTCTCTAAAGGCTGCTTGCTCAAAAAAAACCTGGCGCATGACAGTTTTTATTTTCTTCTGTAAATATTTTTTGATTTTGCAGGACTCCTTAATTACTCAATGGATGTTATTTAATAAGGAGCGTTAAATGGCTGAAGGCTTAAACAGTCATCGCTAATTATATAATTACCAAACTATTGTGTTTGCATTAACGTGCTCATTTCTCAACTGCACGATTACAGGCAGAACTATCAAAGATGATTCATTGGGGAAAAGAACCCGTTTTAAAGCATTGATCGTCGGTCTGTGGTGGAAATTGCCTTCCTGATAGTTTCGTTTGGTGCTTTGTATGGGAGCTCCTCGGAGGAAAATATTGGTCTGCCTCTCATATGATGCATTCTATGAACATTGTGGTGCGTGCTTGTCAAATACGAACAAAAAATATAACCCCGACAGAAAAATATACACGTTTAGTGACGAGTGCACGGCATGTAACGTAAGGCTATACATTTGATATGAAGAAAATGGTAGTTTGCATTAAACCCGTCCTGTGTGCTTCCTTCCTGTGTCCTTCAAACTTTGAAATTCAACGCACCAAACTTCATCACAGCCCTGAAAACAAAGTTGGCCTCTCTTCTGTGTTCTGTAGCCACTCGCAGCAAGCCTCTGGCACGAGTGGTCAATGTAGAAATGTGGTGCGCCCGGTGCACCATCTCGAGGGAATGTGGCGCATCCATCCCCTTACCCACGGCACGCAGGGAAGAGTGGCTGGCGAGGCTCGCCTTGGGGGAGACCCTGGGCACACGCTGTCCACATGGCCCCTGAGGCTCGCCTGCGAGGAACAGCCATCACGTGTCATGTCGTGCTCTCAGCCAGGAGGAAGGGATACGCGGGGGCACGGAGGGCACGAGCAAAGGAAAAGCAAAGCAAAGATTGGAAAGCATCTGCTGAGGGATAACATCTCAGAAATGCAGCGACATGGTTCTGAAGGCTTTCCTTAATAACTTCTGGAATCAAGGGGTCAGAATGGCAGATACAACACGACCATCACCGAATACCATTTTTTAAGTAAATGTAATTTTGTTGCGTATTTTTTGTGAACAAAATAAGTCGCTCCTTATGGTTATGCGTGTGACGTGTATATATTTAAAGTCTATCTTCCTTGTATTAATACAGATCACTCGGAAGAGAGCCATTGGTTTTCAGTTTTAAAATGTTGTGCTTGGGGTGATTTTAAATGTTTTCGTGTCAATAATCCAGCATGTGGACATTGTATATCAACATTTTACTCGGTGGACCAACCCCTCTAAAGGCTTCAATGCTCGTCGATATAATTTTCAAAGCAAATAGAGGGTCTGACATGAACACTCGAACCAATTAAATTGTGACTGTGAATGCAGACATGCTACATCTGTGGACCATCCGTGTATCAAGACAAAAATGCAGTTTTATATACGACCACATTGAATATTAACATTACCGTTGGTATGAGTTTGACATCAACACTTTATACAAATCCCCAAAATTATTTTTCTTTTGTCTCTACCCATGTGTCCATAAGAGGTCCTGAGCCAGTGACAGGAAATTTCATATTCCTGTGGTCACAGTCCCCTCACAAGAACACGAGTAAAAATATATATATATACATATATACAAACAAAACTAAGATGTGGTGGGAAGCAATGGCAGTGGGGTCCAAGGGTAAGAAAACAGTAAAAGAGGGCGCATAAAGATGAGACGCTAATAAAGTAAACAGAAAAAAAGCCCCAGTCACGAGCCAGTAGCAGGTGATAGACCCAGCTGATGGGCTTCTTGACAATCTGAACAAGGATGTGACAAGGCATCAAGTGGCACTTGGAAGGCCGCCAAGCTTATGGGAGAGTCGAGCGGTGGATTTTTCACGCAGGCCGCTAATCTATGTGTCCACAGCCTTCAACGAAAGTGACAGGAGGAAACGCACCCATGACCCCTCTGCTACCCTGTCTCGGACGGCTGCCTCTCTGCTCACTTTGCGGCCCAGTGGCTGCAAACTTCCGAGCAAAGCAGCGATGCTCTGGAGCATGGAAGTTACGTATTTTTTTGAGGGAATGTGGTTTTGACATTCTCCCGATTCTCTACTAAATGAGTTATTAAATTTCTATGAGGGCAAAATGTTTAAGCCTTAACGTGTCAGCTGTTCTGAGGGCATAATGACTCCCTTTTCAATTTGAATCAACGAAATGATATTTAACAAATGTTTTACAAGTTACACGTGTGGTCACTGATGTCAAAAATGTGCTACACAGTACAGAGTCGCAATGAGATTGCTGCATTAGGCATGCACGCTAACTATGTTATACCTCGTATTTAGCAGATGCTCATCTGTAGTCCTATTGCCTTATTTATTAGCACTATTCTTTCAATACTAATGCTTACCTCACTACTGTGCACCCTCCACACTAGCTGGGGCTGCGCTGCGCTACATCGGTTGCCTGTGGCTTGCCTCTTACCGTAGACGCGCCGTATCAGGGCTAGCTGTGCTGCTGCCCTCGCCCGTGCATCCCACCGAGGGGCCACTTTGCTGCAGCGTCCTCTGGCCGACCGGTGCGGCCTGTGCTCCCTGATTGCATGGAATCTTTTCCAGGCGAGCTGGATGGTGAGAGCGGCCATCTCTCTTCTCCAGCGCTCATCAGGATCAGAGCAAAGCGGTGCATGGGGAGCCATCTCGGAGCCGTCCGATTGAGCACCTTCGGGAATCCCTGAGTGACTGTTGCCCACTGCTGATGGCCCGTCTGCTATCCTGCTGCCGCCAAGCTTCATCTTTTCCTCATTGATCTTTGATGCGCGTTTTACAGGAGATCTGCTTGCCAGTGCTCTCTGTTGGGCATTGCTCAGCTGCTCGGAAGATTTGTCCTTTATCGTCTTGGCTTTGTTGACTCTGGACAGTGTTGTGTTTGTCGCTTGTTTAGACACGCACAGTTGACGTGCTTTGTACCTGAGGGTAATGAAAGGAAACTGACATGAGTGGCATATGAAATACACAGGCAGTCCTTTGTAATATAGAATGTAATTACATACCTACATTTCTCGATGGGTATGTGCGTATTGAATTGAAAAAAAACACGTTAGGATAACATTGTAGAACGAAAAGATAATAGGAATTACTTCAAAACTGAGAGTGGTCGTTGTTTTATTTTATCTTAATAATCCAAAAACTACCAAGTTTCAGTGAAATTATTTCTGGGGTATTTGCCATAAGAGCTGTAATGAGTAACTATGCAGTAAAAAGAGCACGCTATTTAAGAGATTATTTCCACTTAACTGACAACTGCCTTTTGCTGCTCGCTAATAAACAAGAGCCCCGCAACTTCACATAGAGCTAAAAAAAATACAAAGAATCAATAATGCAAAAAACAAGAGACACGCTGTAGCCACCATGGGACAAAGGAACGCCTGAGTGAGCGCTGGTGCCACAGCAGCGTCTTGGTACATGGGGACACGGGTAGTGCAAGCCATGGTGCAAAGGAACTTGGCACGCATGATACAGCTGCTGTGCTACGCAATGGTGGGCGTGGGGGGGCTGGGAGTGTTTGGAGTGGTAGAAGAGGGGATCGTCGGAAGGGGAGGGGGGCGGCAAGGAGACACGACGCATCCATCGTGTGATCAAGACAAATGCAGCGTGACGTGTTCAGTTCCGGGACACTTCCCTTGTTTGGCTTTTACCATCTCCCAAGGCGTACCGATTTGGAATGGTGTAGTGCTCACGTGCCAAGCTGGCGAGTGCTCTGCGGCTATGAGGGGCTCCGAAATAACGACATTTAAGCAGTTACATATATGTGAGCAAAAATGCCTCGGTGCCAAATATATTAGAAAACTATGGTAATGTTGCAAACACTGATCAAAATTCATGGGGAGTGGTCACTACAACAGGTGAGAGAATGCACAAAAGCACAAGATTGCAAAGTAGCCGAATGCCATTATTTGCATAGAGATTATGCAACATTGTGGAATCTTGTCAATGATATGCAGTTGAACATTGTTAAAATTCCATGAAGACTTGAGCCAGAACACCCATCTGCCAAACTGTCATTATTGCTTGAAACCAATGACAAGATGGCACAATCTGGATTGCTATCCAAGTAATTTCTACTCTTTTATTTTATTTGACCAGGTAAGGCCCACTGAGCTATATAGCTCTTTTTCAGAAGCGATCTGGCCAAAAATGATAGCTCAACGAAGTGGCTTATCATGTGGAAATTTATAGCAGCCAAATAATTTAAATGCATGGTTCTAAATGTGGAGGGAAAAACAGAACGACCCGGATAAAAATCCACACGACCACAGGGAGAACATGCAAACTCCAAATACACAGGTGACGGGGTCAGGATTGAACCCACGACCTCCTGTATACCAGGCGAGGTAGTTAATATCTCGCCACTGTGGCACCCCATTCAAGGAGGCACCCACCACAGAACCCTATGCAGGCACAGGAGGCGTTTATTTTCACCTGTGCCACGTCCTCTGGATGAGGATGGCCGCCTGCTGCTTCCTCCGGAAGAGATCCTTGCGCCTCCTCTCCCGTTGTACGATCTGCAGTCGCACCTCAAGTGCCAGCTCCATAATGTTCGAGCCGTGTGGAATGGGCAGCGCGTGACCTTTGCCTCCAGCCTCCCACCTGCCGCCACCCCCTCCTCTTGGATACTCTCTTTCACTTCTCTTGCAAATTTGTGGCGAGGATTTTGCTGATTCTGAAAGTGTAATGGACACAAATGAAACCGGGAGTTTTAAAATGATTTTACATGCTATAGATATCAAAGCAGAGCATCTATTAAATAATTTGGACAAATGAAAATACTAAAATGTGGTTAGTAATGTAAACTAGTCAGATTATACGATGTTCTTACCTGTTTTTGTGACGTGAGGTATTTCTTCGTCGTTCTCTGGCCTAATTTGCATACCATGTGCCGAACATGTTCGATTCTGCGCCGAAGCTCCGAGTACAGCATCTTCGTTTATTCTTGACAAGTTGTTATGTGTGCTTTTTGATTTCCCCGACTTCTCTGGATGCCGATACTTACATTCACTGCATGTGCCTCTGTGTGAATGCTTGGCATCCCTTCTGTCACTGCTCAAAACCGGTGAGGTCCGTCCACACAAACCCGGCGAGTGCTTGTGGCAGCAGTACCCACTGCCATCTGCACACATTTTGCCCTCCTTTCTAGACTTTGAATGGTGCTTTTTCTCTTTCTTTGCGTCCTCGCTGCTGTTTTGCTGCTGTGATCCACCCGACTGTTTCTCTGGTCTAACCTGGTTACCAATTGCAACGTCGCCAGCTTTGATTTTTCTCCCAGCCGAGCTGCGTTTCTCAATGCTACTACCATTGCTGTTGCCGCCGCCACCGCCCCCGCTCCCGCTTCCAGGCGGCGGCGGTTCTTTGCTGCCGCTCCTGGGACTCGGACTGGTGGTGTCGGGCTGAGGCAGCTGCTGGATGCTTTTTGCTTTGGTGGTCGCTCCGCGGCCCGCGATAGATGCCCGCAGTTCACCCTCAGAGGCTGAATGATGCAGAGTGGCAGCATCAGCTCTCTCTGGTGCCTCACCACCAGCGCTATTGGATGGGGCCTTCTCTGGAGCACCAGACCTGGTGGGACCACGGGTGCCCGTGGCAGACAGTGCTTGCTTCGCTCTCTCCTGCTCACGAGCGTGTCGTCCTTTGAGAGAAAACGACAACAGCACTCGTGTAGGCTGCTTGAATAGTTTGGCCAATTAAACAGTGCCACCATTTCCAGTTTGCCAAAAATACTTTTTAGATCATAAGCCAAAATACACATTTTATGTTATTAAGCTTCGGAAAATGTTTCCTTCCCAATGACATGTTCAAGCACGAGCAAATGCACAATTTACAGCGACATAACAGAGCCCGCCTCGCAAGAAGGAATGCTCATCTCTTTCAAAGCTTCCTTTTAAAACCCCAAATTGTACAAATAATAATAAAACCGCGGTCGATCGGTCATCAAACGAACGCATTTTGTGCTTCCACTGCTGACCCAATTATTTGACAACACAGAGGCGCTTCAGCTTATCGTACCACATTCTCCTCCTTCAAGCGTGGTCTCTGCACAAGGCTCCTTCCTGTGGACCCCCTGCTGCACGAGCCTCTCTTGATTTTGGGCCTCGGCACCACTTTCTCCAATCTTCAATAGCTGCTGCGCTGCCTCTTTTCTCCTGTTCACCTCCTCTCTCTTCCTGCTAGGGTTAGAAAGGACGCTTTCTGTTATTTAAAAAAGAGGTGGGACCACGATGAACAAAGGATACCCAATAATCGTCCCAGAATTCTCAAGATAGCTTGTAAAGGCAAACCTCGTCTATTCTCACATCAAATATTCAGAAATTTAACTTTTCACATTTTTTTTTACTGTACAGCAATATGTTTTATATGTATTTAAAAAGCATGGTGTTACATGTCACCTTTTATATGTCAAAAAAGTTTGGTAATAAAACCCCACCACACATTGTACGTTTCACATCGTGTCCTTTGCTAAACTTTTGTCAGTTACAGCTCACACGTGTCCATGTGAAAGCCTTCACATATTCACAAAAAGGTTAATCTTCCTACTATCAAGCCCCTCCCTGCTCCCGGTATTACTGCGAATAGGTGAGGCTTGCATATATTTTTTTTCGAATAAATCCCCACTGACCTTTAGCTCTGGTATATATTTAATGGTATCTTTGAAAACTTTAATAATTAATTTTGGTAAAACTCGGTAGCACAGTATAGCTATTGTGTAAATAACAACAGAAGTTTTCTTATTTGCACAGTGAATCCATTCAGCTAATGAGCTGTGTATCCACGCCAACGTCTGGAATATTACATTTTTAAAACATATGCCACGGCAGACAAGACATGGGAAAATTTAATTGACGGCTATCATATAAATATAAGAGAGAGCCAGGGGAGTTGCAAATGAAGTGTCACATTTTCTAGAAAATCTAAAAGCCCGCTACCGAACAGTAAAGACACCAGGTGTGGCTTTTATATCTGTGTAGAATTCAACACAAAAACAAAGATGTGGTATTTTTCATCCGATGCCTCTGTGCGCTCGTCACATTCAATCTGTATGCCGTAGTCAGAAAAGCACAAGCCTTTGGAGACTTTTTAAGCTGATTAATATTGCTTTGTTTCTGTGGGGCCTCTCTTAAGCATGTGTGCAGTAATTTACCAAACTGCAAACACATATTAGGCTTTATTATAGAGATTAAACAAGCTAATTAAAAGCTATTTCTGCAGCTGTTACATATATTCAAATTGAAGCCTTGGCAGCTTAGAGGGGTTTTGCGTGTTTTCATTAATTAAAAAGCAACACCTGACACAGATCTGTGTAACCCCAGTGGTTTGTAAATTCAGCTGCAGCATCGCTTCTCCGCCCCTGAGTCTTAGCAAAAGTTTGAAATCACTGGATATGTGGAAAACTATATTTATAATTGAACTTTCAAAACTCTCTTTAAATGCATCATGATCAAACATATGCAATATTGATGAAGAACAGGATGTATTTAAACTGGGTGTAGGTTGATGCTGAGTGCAATATCGTCTCGCAAGCTTAGTGGTGTTCATTCAGACGCTGTCTTTCCGACAGACCTGTTCTTCACCTGAGGACGGCTGCTTGCGTTGTGGCCGAAACGTCGTGAGAATTGTATTTTATTATGTTGAATTTTTATTATTTTATTATTTCTCTTCTACGTGACTTTGCCGAAAGAACCATGAAGAAGCTTAGTGACCTCAAGATTTTAACTGTTATCGATCTCCCAAATAACAATGGACAAATGTACGCTTCATATATATGTATATATGAAATAACAATACGAGCATGAGTACTATTTCGGCATCATTTAATATTTTTAGGACCTGGTAAAAAAAAACTGTCTCTATAATTTTCCCTGTGATGGCAATGGGAGACTTGGGGCTGTTTTGGTAAAATAAATATAACTACCGTGCACGTTTACCAACAATGCGAATCTGCCTCTGTGATTGTACGCGGTAATCGCGAAAACAAAAAATACACAGGTAATGCAAAACAGTTATTTCACGCTAACACAAACTATACGACGTAACTTCCAATTTTAAGGATAACTACTGGTTCAGATGAGGATAATTTAGCAGCCCTTTATGTAAACACACTACGAAATCATATCTTGACAGTATTATCCACTCTGCCATAATGGATTTAATGTGCTTAAACAACATGCACACAGAGCACAATTCAGCCACAAACTGACATGCCCCACGGAACATTAGACAGCCTCACCGTTATCGAAGAGGGCATCTGTCCTGTCCTATTACTACTCAGTGGCTGAAGAATGAACAGAGGTGTGGACGTGTCATTACTCTCAATTGTTTTGTCAAGATAACACAAGGGAAGCGCAGCTGCCACCGCTTACTCAGTCGCTGATAAACATTCCCACTCCATGACTTGCATTAGAGCTCAGCCTGCGAGTACAGCAACGTGTACAGCGCTCCGATGCGATAACTCAAGACACCATCTGTAATTTACGTCAGATGCCGTCATTGCCTGCTAGGATTTACATTGCATCATTGTCATATGATGCATCAAGGGCGCTGATAATTATCGAGCCGCTTTTTCAGCCTCCACTTGCTGCCTTTCACCTGCTCTCTGTTGTGGATCGGCAGTATGAGGCAATGTGCTGTCCGATGCTGTACCAAGTCGCGTGAAGAGACATTTATAAAAATGTCTAAGACATACAAGAGTTGTCTTTTTTGATTGTCATAATACTGTGCGCAGCATTGCAAATGTACTCTTTGTATACTTGAACCTCATGGCGAGACCCAGGAGTCCCGAATAAACGGAAGTCAACATCGTAATTAATTTATTTTTGGCGACTCCGTCCCACCGCGCACATAAACGCCGCGACCCACCAGAAATCAATCCTCTCGTTCTTCACCAAGCACCCGTCGTTGCCAAAATTGCCGTAGTCATAAACACAGCTTTTAAACTTTGATTAGCGCATCGTGTAGAGCCCGTCGAGAGGAAGTGATCGCCGTGTTGTTCGCCTTCAACAGACATAAAATGACGTCGCAACGCAGTTTATGCGAGAGCCGGGGGCCTATGGGACCCCGGGGTCCCGCCATAAGGTTCGCATGTCAATGCAAACACAAAATCAATCAGGCTGTGACCCACGTCAAACCTTGTGATTCTAATATTATTCTAATATATTATTTTGACCAGTTATACTATGTTGTGTTCTGAAAGACTGTATCCTGAAAGATATAATTAAGGCATCATAACTTATAATTTATCAACCCAGAATTTACAAACCCACACTGACCAGCGTGGTGAAGTGTGTTCAAACAATCCCATGACAGATATTGCATGAGGAGGTCTTCACCAAGCAGGGAATTGACAAAGGGCTGTACATTATTGTTATCACGAAATCTCAATACAATGCCATATGTTGACATCACCTATTCCTGTGTAGTAGCAGTTAATCTTATGCCTACACTGACCCACACAAACTGTTTCATACACAGGTATCGGACATTAAGAGGACAGTAAATATATGCACTGTGCAGTCACGACCCGAGCTTTATGCATTGCTGGGCATCATCCTATCTTTTTTGTGTCAATAGTTTACGTGATGTATAAAGGTACACGTGTAAATTATATGATATTATAGTTTGTATATACAACAAAAAAAGAGTATTGGGCTGTTTTTAGCAAGAGCTTTGACTTTAAATGTCTGACCTACACAAATCTCCTGGAGTGCATTCGTTTGACGTACACGGCTACACGCACATTGGACCCACCTTGGATTTCTTAAGTCACCTATTGTGACCGCGCCAACTCTCACTGGGGTGGAGCATGTCACTGTTCCCAGCTACACATGCTACTGGATGTATATCCATCAGCATGGCGTAACAACCAGACACTGGTATTAGGTAAAGGCTATGGGTGTGAACAAATAATGGCTTGCATTAACAGGATGCATGTTGCATTAAATCATGCATGTGTGCTATGTGCCTGTTTTGGGCTTGGGTCATTACCTATTTAAGTCAAACCTTCACCCTTTTCCCTATTCCCACACCCCACATTTACCCTCTAAGCTTAAAAGACTCATTTCTGGCCACGATGGATCGTGAAGATTTCAGCATGTACTGATGGCAGTACAGCAAATGTGGTCTTGAATTGTAGATGTGGATTTTGAATGTCACCCCCAATCATAGGTGGGATTTCTTTAGGGCCCACCATTTCCTCCCTAAGGCAAACACTCTAAGAAATATATATTTAGACACAGAGAGGCTATCCTGGATAAATACAAGACTATTACTATACCTTGACTGAGTGGTGCTATGGAAGAGCATTTGGTTTACAATTGGAGTCAATAAACGAGTAACACTTTGAGTAACGTCAACAGCGGCTGTCATATGTAGAGACTGGGCCCCCCATAGGATTTCAGAACTTCTACCACTGTCTTAGAAGTGCCAAAAGAGAAGCACACCACCTCACACGCGTTTCAGCAAGGCGATTATTTGACCGACTGTTATTATCGGACTGCAGTCTTTGCGTTCTCTTTGGTTGACGCACCCCACCCCTGGGCAGTACCTGGCTGCATGCTTGCGCAGCTGCTCGTGTTTCATGAGCAACTTTTTCCGGTCCAAATAGGAGCGGCGCACACGGTGCCCGCGGTACACGGCCTGGATCTTGGTCGCAGCAATGTCCTGGATAGCGGCGATGGAGAGGGCCCCATGCTCAAGCATGTATTGGATCACCTCCTGGTGCCCTCCGAGCAGGGCGTAGTCGAGGGGGGTGTACCTGGGGTCAATGTGAATGGGGAGAAGGTGGTGGGATCAAGCTCTGACACTGTTGCTAAACAGCTAGAACGATATGATGAGCATACACAACAAGATGGACCGTGGGATAAAATAACATTGCAAATGCCTCTCTGATGTGTTTCCAGGCTTCTTTAGGAACTGAACTAAAGCTCCTTGCACGTAACGCGAATTGTCAGACTTCATGCTGAACAACGTGTGGTACAACCCGACAACACTTTGGAGAGCTGTTCAGGACAATCGTAAGAGTACAACATTTAAATGACTGGATTTAAAATGCACAAAACAGTATCTAGAAACAAAAATCTAGTTTTTATGTCATATTTTGTTTATTTTCTAAATACAGCAGAAAGTTTCTCCAGGCAATATTATAGGCCCTTGGAAAATAATGTGGAATCAATGATCTGGTTATTTAGTCATTTAGCTGTGTCCGAGATTGTGACCAAATGACAGAACACGTGGTGAAAACCAGAGGCTGTTGTTCAATGTCAGACAATCAATCAATCTCCCTCGGTGATTAATCTCTGTGCCGCTTATGAAATGGTTCTCGGACACAAATCCGTGCACACATTGTAACCACTCACATTACATGCATGCCTCGGCAAACACATCCAAATAAGTGCTCTACAAATGTACCACTTTCACTGTGCAGAAAAACAAGTCTAAATGTTTTTTACAGCCTCATCTAATCTAGGAGGACATTCAAAATTACACTGATTAGTGCACTGCATTACAGGTTATTAACATATCCATGCAAATACTGTATACAAACAAGAACCTGCACATTATTGTTACCACAACACTACAAGATTAATATTTTCAGCACTAGTACGTGTGCGCAGAGATGCAGGACAGCACAGAGGAACTTGATGTATTGCATAAACATACTGTTAAGTAACACACATTTTTGGAACATTGCATAAGCACGGCAGTTCCATTATTTTACGAGTATCTACAAATTAAAGTTTTCAAGCATATTTGTCACGCACATTAATTTTAGATGGAAGCCATATAATAGTCTTCTATGTATAAATCGGCGAGCCGTATTTTTGGTACTTTTAGCCTTTCTGTCTTGTCATTCACTTAAATTATACATCAAGGTACACGGTAGGATTTAAGTCTGGCGTCAAACTAGCCCAGGCAGTAAGTCGTTCATCGCGCTGCGCAATTAAACCGCAATCCCTTTCCCATCAAGAGTTTTACATCACTATCGATACTTGTTTTTTTCTCCTTCGAAACAAACTCCCCACTCATTATTTCTCGGGGATACAAATGGATTACAGACCAAAACAGCTCGGCAAGATTAATTACTCATCCCCGAGCGCTCAGATTGGGGCTGTGCACAAGACATACGACCCTGGCAGGGACCAGCGCTTAATCTCCGAGACAAATATTTCAGGGAGGAAATTAATGTGCTGACAACAAACACTCTGCAGTTGCAAAAGGAAAAAATGGAAGCTCTAATCATTTGCCTCTTTGCCTTTTCTTCTCAGGCCCTATTAGTCAACCTCAAAGCCTGCAGGATGCGAGAGTGATGCTTAACCTTGTTACAATGACCCAACAGATCGTGGAGCTTTCTGAGGGCACAGATCATCGCTGTGGTCGTACTCAACAATGGGAATTATACAATTAGCAGCGTTCTTATTAAAGGATACTGCATTTGAACAGGTAAGCCACTATTTAAAATATTCACGTAACTGAGTGTATAATGGGCGAGTTTCATTCTCTGCCACATGCAGATGTAATTTCCTATGACGTGTGCTCAAGTATATAGATATATGGCAATCTTTCTTTCTTGATTTAAAAACTATTCTGGAATATGCACGCTGTTGGACATTTATAAGTATTCAATTATTTCCATGAAATAATGGAGAAAACAATGATTAATAAAAACGAAGCTTCAGACAAATGATTTGACTCATGTTCATGTTGATACTCTGTGTGCGATTCATGATGATGCACATTACAGCTTAAGCTGGTGCTTATAAGCAGGCTTATTTGTAACTCTCACACCCATGGAAGCAGTTCACTGGTTCTGAAATACTACGGCAAAGTAATTTTAAACGGATAATACAGACGGCAAAAAGAATACATACACTGTACTGTAATCTGTATTGCAATAATGTAAAAATATATTTTTTTGACAGTATACATATATATTACTCATAAGCACCTGCATTCTTTGGCAGTCTTTTTTCCCCAGTTCAGAAGTTTGACCGGACTGTCACATTCAATCAGAAATGACGAATAACGCTCATCGCCATTTGCACCCTCTTTATATACACTAACAGCTCATTTCAGCGGCCCTTCAGCCACAGTAAACACAACAAAGTAAAGAAGAAAGAGCATGATTTATTCGTCATTCATTATTTATCCAGCAGTCTCTTTCTCTCTCGCTCCAATCTCGTGGCCCTTTGTGAGCTTCAGCTCGAGTAAAGCCGGGGTGCAAAAGCCTCTGTGAATAAGCAATGACAGTGAGTGCGAGCAGCATAGGATGTGAGAATCCTGGGCACTTGCCTTCTACCCCTCCAAAATGTCTAATTAGCATTTGTTTAAAATGAAAACGTCTGCTGCCCTGATCAAAGTTCCAGTAGGTTACCACTGCGCATCCGCATTTGTCTAGGCGTTAAAACTTTTAGTCCATATGGCATTCTGAAGCCACGTTCAAATACAGTGGTTAAGCGTCCCACTGCATTTTGTAATTTTAAACTACATTCGTAAAATTAATGAATGAACCAATTCACTAATGCACACTGCGGCAATTGCCATGAAATAAACTCTAATTGCTTCGTTATAAACCACTATTACCAACATGAACAGAAATCAATGGATACACGGTCTTCGCTCGACGGAATATCACGCGCATAAATGTCGTAAAAAAAAATAATCCACACAGAAATAGACGTATTTGTCTGACTAAAGGAGAGCCAAGTCACTTATGAGCACATCACATGTTGAACAACGTTGTTAAGGGAAGCGGGTGATTCCGCAGATTTTTGCTGGCCCTACTTATGTTGGCAATGGATGGCTTTCGCTGTCGTGGATGGGTGCAAGGGGCGGGTACCTCTCCTCGTTGGTCTCCATGTGGTTAGAGAAGGCTCCGTACTCTAACAGGAGCTTGACTGCGTTCAGGTAACCATTGTTGCAGCACCAGTGCAGCGCTGTCATGCCCTGGAGATACACGAGTTCAAGAGTTACACGTGGCTGCATGATGCACGTTAATGACTGTCGATTACTGCACATGCACGCATCAACACAAGTAGTGTATACCTGTAATAATACACAGAAAGTCGAATGCATGTCATATTCATGGTATTTGAATGAAAACACTACTGAATTGTTCTATAAGGTCTGAATTGCAGTGGTATTTTATTAAAAGACCAATTTTATAATATATTATATGCATTTTATAACAATACAAATATGATCACGAGCAACCTACAATGTGTCTTTCACTTTGCAGCGTGAGCCTGGATTGTGCTCAATCAATGGAAAACGGGAAATTTAAGTTGACCAATAATCAATAGCGCCGCTTAATTAGACCAAGTACAATTAATTAAATTAATCGTGTCTTAAATTGTATACAAGTACAATTGTCAAGCACCCGATGGAATGATCTCTTTGTCATGCTAACCTATCTGCTGATGGGAGCAGTCGGAATTTCAACGCAACATTTTCACTCGCCTGGAGGAAAATTAGTTCTGTGTATTTTTTAAACAGTGGATGCCACCTTTTATAGTATTAATATATCATTATGAGCAAACATCTATCGGCTATATATTTTTATGGTTTATAATATTTTGATGAAAATAAACATTGTTTAATCCCTGATGCAGTTTTGTTGCTTGTTGATAACGATATCCAATGGAAGATTAATCAAAATCCCACAGCACTTGAACTCTTGCAACAGCTCACATATAACATTCAACTGTTTTAATTATATTCCATGACAATTACTGGGATGTCACATAAACGACAGTGATTGTTAATATGCAAGATGACCACTGAAACCCTATTTATGATTCTGTAACCCGGTCAAGAGCACAACGTTTTTCTGCTGCGTGATAAGTCCCAGAGTCCTGGCATCTCACACAAGTGGCATCGTCTGGATAATTTGGACAACCTGTGAAATAGAATGTTCAGTGCGTGTGAGGCAGTGTTGTTGAAGCAGCGGCGTTTGCCTGCACTGTTAACACCTCACAGCTGTGGTGCTGATGTCGCTCGCACTCAGAAGCACCACGCTCACACACACACCTCTTTGTCCTGTATGTTAGGGTCAGCCTGGCTGTCCATCAGAACAACCATGCAGTTGATATAGCCTCCGTATGCCGCACACTGGAGCGGGGTGCGGCGCACATGGTCCCGCACGTCTGGGTGGATACCATTCCGAATTAGGATAAGGCAGATGTCTGCGTTTCCACCCAGAGCTGCCCAGTGCAGAGGGGAGTGTCCATCCTGGTCCACCAAGTCCACCCGCGCACCGCCTTGCATTTCACATACATGCGCGAGCATAAACACAGACACATGAGCACGCAAACAAATGCACGTGGCCATAACAGCAGACGCACATGCAGAGATATAAGAACAAAGCATAGTCGCATACATGCAAACGCGCAGTATACACATATATACAAATTCATAGATATATGCGCACATATGCCCGAAAATGCACCCCTTTGTGGAAAAGCACATGGCGCACCATGCATTGTGTGAAAGAGATCATCTTCCCGTCTGCACTATAAGGAGGATGTGACAGAATTTTTAATCTTGCTACGCAGCACCTTAATACGCATAAATATTGATAATTATATCATGAAGAATTACGTACAGATCTGTTTACATTTCAATACTGCGTATCTTAATGGAAAAACATTTGTAAGGTGGTTTTCTCAAGGCAATGTAAATTTGCTTAAAAAATGGATATAATTTTATGAATGAACTTGACAGGCAATACAATCCAAACACAGCACATTAATCATTTAACTTATAAATATTCTATGCCCTGAGAGGGTAAATTAACTTGGGGCGGGAGGGGGGTGGATGGTTGGGGTGGGGAGCAGTGTGGAGCAGACACGTACGGGCGCGCGTGCGTGCGTACGCGCACACGCACCTTCAATCAGGGTCTCGATAACCTCCTTGTGGCCCATCTCGCAGGCGCGGAAAAGCGGCGTGTGCTTCATGACATTGGCTGCATCCACCTGCGCCCCGTGGGCCAGCAGCAGACGCACCGTGCTCACATGACCGGAAAGCGCGGCCGCGTGCAACGCTGCAGAAACGGGGAGGGGAGGAAGGGTAGCACCTTGCAAACATGCCGGGGCGGTTTACCCTCGTCGCGACTCGCAAACAGTAAACAAAACGATGCCTCCCTGTGATTCAACGCGCAGACGGGATGGACGCGCCGCAGGCAGATGCACCACCTGAGTCGCTCGGCAGATCAAATAGCGCTGTTTGGATAAGCAAACGGGCTTGAGGACCCGGTTAAAAATGCAACAGTATGGCCGAACGACCGATCGCCCACATGATCGCCCATGTGTAAAGTAACCGAGTATACAAAGACGGGCATGTTTTTTAGTCAGGTCTTTTAAATAATGCTTAACAAAGGGGGATGTTTCTTCCCACCTCAACATTTTTATTTTCTGTTAAGTAATTTTTCAACGATTTTCTCATGGTCTAATACCGAGTATCCGGCCAGGTGGCTCAGCGGTAGAATGAGCAGCTCACAATTGTGAGGTTGCGAGTTAAATTCGTGGTTGGGGGTTGATTCTTATGGAGTCGATAAAATGAGTAGCACTTCGTGGAGAAGTGAACGGCGGCTGCCCTATGAATACTATCCCCTGCGATAAAGAATGTGGCTCAGGACTGTAAATGGGCAACCACCTCAAAGTGCTCGTTTGAGCAGGAATCACTTCAACTTTTTAATACTGAGTGGCACGTGGTATCAACAAAAACTTGATATTACGTTTTAAGAAATGGGGTGACCCTCCATTGCTTCCAGGTTTAAAAAAAAAAACTTTATTAATCAGCGCCTTTGACATAAATATAATAATTGAATCCACCAGTTTTACACCGCATTAAAAATCAGGTTTGGCACTTGTGTTGTTGCTCTGGCGACCAGGAGATCGATGATCGATGTTCGTTGATAGCGTTCGTCGTGATTTTTCACGTAACAGAGTGGGCTGCGTGAAGGCTTGCCATCTTCCACTGACCATGACTAACATAAAAACACGCAGTTTTGTTGTTACACGGCTGTACACGAGTAGCGACAACTAAGTGGAAGATGACGCCCTAAGTAATGGTACTCGACACTACAGGTCAAATCATCTCCGGCTAACCGCTTTTAGATTACCTAATGCGTTCTGCTGCTGCAGGTTTTCCGTAACTTGGTGTGAGGTGGCTAATCCGCTTACGGTGTTAAGTTATCCCGGGGGTGTACAGTGAGGGAATCAATCTGCAGGCCTCCCCCTTCCACGGCAGGGATTTGCCACAGTCGCTATAAACATCATAATCAGGACATTTCAAGCCTCCTAACGATGCAGCTAAGGCTCATGTGGAGCATTGTTTGGTGATGAATAAGTGCACCTCATGATTTCAAAATAATTACACAAATGATCTTGCTATTTTAAACCAATGGATTCAAATGGGAGAGAAAAAATATATATATATGTAAGCTTGACCGTTAAAGTCATTCTATTTATTGTTTATGCATGTGCGACTGATATACAATGCTAATAGAATATCAGGGATTCTTTTCCAGCACTGGGGGCTGTACACATGCCCACGGGTGTGATGGCTATTTCTCTATCCAAATGGCTGCACGCAAGCCTCATGGCCCAGAGTGATGCTCGACATGCGTGATGATGCTGTTATGACAGCTGACACACACGATGAGAAAGTCACGACGGCAAAAACACGAAGAAGACACAGTGCAAAATTGTAACAGTAATTTGACTGAATTATGTCTAGAAATATCCTTGTAGCTAACAGGCAAACCAGTGTAATCGTACAACCACGATACAATTACGAATGCAATTTTGATATTGAATTTATGTTTCCAGGTGTTTGTATGATCATGACCACTGGGTATATGTAAAGCACTTAACCCAATCCTTAAAAGTGAATTTGCAATTTAGGTAAAACGTATGAAACATAGCACATGATGTTGTAATTGCGTTGCAACTACTTAATTAAGTATATATTAGTAGCAGTCTTTATATTGTGTATTTTTAGAGAGTTCTTTATGTTCAACAATCGAGTTTATTCCCCAGGTATTAGTGTTGTACAATCACATCACTTTTAAACCTGAGTGATATAGCATTCAATTATTGAATAAGAATACAATAAACTTTTGCTAAAAAAACCTTAATTTTTGGAATTACAATTTTATTTTTCTGTGCTTTTCAAACAGTATTTTTTTTTACAATACAAACAATGTCTTATTTTTATCTATAACAAAAACATCCAATGTACACTATACTGGATACTATATTGGATTTCAAAATAAGGTTTTTATAGACAAAGTGGAAATGGTTACTGGGAAAGGTTAAGAAAGTGTGAGATGCCAGCAGACAGTGCAGGTTTAATAAAGCCAGTGGAATCGCTCACTGGGAGAGTTTAATCAAACATCTAAAACTTCTCAAAGACTGGTTTGTAAGCTAATCTGCCTGTGTGCTCGGCACTATGAGATATAAGGCCATCGCACAGTCCTGTTAATGCAAATTTCACAAGTGTTAATACACATTCATATAAAAAGTGAACTCATCTTTAAACTTTTCCACCTTCTTTTAAATATCCTAAAAAAGCACTTGCCTCTTGTGTGGATAGCAGATGTGTGCGAGACAAGTTTTGACACGTGTAAAGGTTAAAGCTATCCGTGTAACATGTCTTGTGGTCAGTGTGATCCAGGTTTACACACACACACACACATGCGTATATAACCTTTATGGATTGTGATGGAAAACGATGTCTTAATGCATGTCATGTCTGGTGCCACATGTCAAGACACAGGGCATTTCAGTGGATGGTCAGATTCAATTTGTCTGTCACGGTGGCTTTTCTTTATGGAATTATTCCAAGACTGTGAGTCATGAGCACAGTGACATCGGGCACAAAGTTGTCATGCCGTATGGCTGACATTACAAGATTATTTCACATTTTCTGTAAGCAACATAACAGTATGGCAGCTCACGATATGACAAACCTATAGTCATATTAAGATGACAGGGTATTACTTTCCGACTGGAAGAACCAAAACTATTAAGAGATAAGGCAGCATCAAATCTGTAACACATTGATCTGCATTTTTGGAATGAAAATGCATTTCATATAATTCCAAAATATTCCAAGTTAACTTTTAAATGCTGCCGATGTACCCACTGAAGTGCTTGCAAAATACTTTCTCTGTAGAATGCAAATCCTATGACAATCAAACAGCAGGAAATCGAGGTGCACCTCCTATGAAAGCACCTAGACGGCCACCTGTCACGGGTGCCGCAGTGGGCACGTGGCCACTCACGTGCGGGCAGGAGGGCCCTACCAGTGCCGCCGTACTTGTCGGCGAGGTTGACGTCGAGGTTGGAAATGAGGCGCAGCATGGTGCTCACGACGGCATCGCTGCCTTTGCCAGCCGCCCACATGAACGCCGTGCGGCGCTCCAGGTCAGGTTCGTCGTGCACCGATGGGTGCGAAAGGAACACTTCCACCGTTTCCTGCCGGATTAACGAAAATGTACTTTTTTCCGCCCTCCTTCAGCATCACTATGAACATCGTGTGTCAATGCTACCTTATTCAACAAACTTAATGAGCTGACCGTGACAGCTGTAAAAAAAAAAATCCCGAGCGCATAATACGCTTGCCTGTCCAATAAAATCATGCCAAGAAATGTTTGGAAAGGAAAAAAAAGAACAACAACACAACCTTTACGTAAGCATGTCTATGCATGCTAAATGTTACCGTGCTTATGAGAAGATTACGGTTTGTTAAAATGAAAGGATTGAAAAAGAACATTACGTGACAAAACTTTCAATAGCTGAGAAACAAAAAGCACGGGTGAGTTAGAAAGGAGACATGCAAGCCTTGGAACAGGTGCGCTCACCGCATGGTTGCTCTGAGCAGCGTAGTGCAGGGGCGTGGCTCCCTGGCTGTCTGAGGGAATGGTGCCAGAGGAGTTCCTCTCCAGCAGTAGGTGAACTATTTTAGCGTGACCTGAAAAGCAGCATGTCGGTGACACTCCGTTCATACACACAGTGTCTGTTTTTGCTTTTGTTCTGTCCGTTAGCTTTGCAGGCTGATAAATGTGCAAACTGCACCTACATGCGTGGCTACGTAATCAGTATTCATAACTATAGCAGGACGTGATAGAAAGTCTTGTCTTTAAACAACTAGATTGTTGGTGGTCATTCCAAGTATTAGGATTATGGGTGGAATTACAAATAAGAATATGAAATTGCAGGATTCGATCTGCCTTCTAGTGATCGTCATTGTTGTACTTACATATACTTGCATACACTATAGTAGATTTTTAAGCATATTATAAAAAGGTAACCATTAAAATAAACTACAGTATATGTACAAAGCATATGCAACAAAGGCACCCTCACAGTGGAAATGTGCAAACCCACATACATCATGTTGTACGGAAATAACAAAAACAATCAATAATCACAATTTTCCTCTCCGAAAACCATTTGTAAGAAAATGACTCGGTAGCGTTCATCAGCACAATTGACCGAGGCAGCTGGACATTGTCACCGCTGAAGGCAGAGCAGCCCACAAGCACGTGAAGCAGATTTCAACTCTCTTAAAAAAAACCCTTCACAGCACTTCCCCCCCCCCCCACTTGACTGGCCACCCACCCTCCCTCGTTAACCGATATTGACCCAGGGTAGCACAGGATCGGCTTGGTATTTACAGCCCCGTTCAGCTCCAGCCATTAACCTCCCAACCGGGGGCCACGCAGGTTTTATACCCTTCGATTAATGCCGCTGAGAAGGAGGGCTCTCCCACAGCTTAGAGAGTGGCATTAAGAGCTTTCTTACCAAATGTGACTTGTTTATTTATTTATTTGTTACCTTGCGGCTCTTGTTTAGCAATTTCACCGACGAATTCTCATTCTCTTCGTTTAAAAAAACACAATCATGTACACAGCATGGTTTGTCAGAAACTACCTGTGTACTTATATTTGTCTTGAAATTTGAAGGAACTGAAACAGATTTTAAATGACCGCATTGGTGAAATGTATTCCAACAAATGGTCAAACATAACTCTCCAGAAAAATACGCTGGGAAAAAATTCCCAACTGTTTTAAATCCCACTATTTTCAAGTAAGTTTTCAGATGTGTGTATGCTTGCCATGTTGTGTTTTTTTGCGGATGTGATTTACACTTCAGCAAAAAACCTTCAATGTTTGCAAAACACGTTCAGTTAACATCCATCATATGATAGGCAACAACTAGCGTGCAAACGCTTCCATGTTTAAGTTAAATTATATTAAGTACGAATACACGTACACAGCAGCATATCGACACACCCATGTATAGAATACTATTGCGTAGGTGTATGTGCTTGTGCTGTATAGCTCTCGGATGCGTTTTTGGGCTGTTCCACGTGTTGTTCGTATGGCGTCGGACGCTTTGCTCCACGTGTTGGAAGCTTCTTCAGGAACTGAATTCTGAACTGAATTCTGAAGAAAACACATCGGTACAGCCTAAAAACACATCACAGAGCTACACATACAGCAAACATAAACTAATCACATGCACATACAAAAAATACACACATATAAACACAGTGATAATCTAGAATAGTCATAACAATAAGCATAAACCACTTTATGTGTGACGTAACTGAGACACACAAACCAACTACATTACTGTACTCTATTCGGCCAGTCTTCAGATCCACACATCCACCTAGAGATAATGACAGTCTTGGCTGCAAAGCCATGGGGAATTGCCTGGGGAACACATGGGGAGGCTTGGTGTGTGTGGGGTGTGTGGGGAGAGGGATGCCCGAGTGAGCTGAACTACCGAGCAGCGCGGCCCAGTGCAGCGAGGTGCGGAAGAGGTTGTCAGTAGGCCATGACGTTGCAGACTTGCGGCGATGTCAGGATGTCCACCACTGCCTCGTTGCCATCAGCCACGGCGAAGTGGAGGGGCGTGCGTCCCTCGTAGTCCTGCCAGTTGAGGATGGAATCGGTCGGCGTGGCTTCCTGGGAAATATTACAGAACTAAACAAAACAACTTTTGCGGAGACACGCACAAAACAATGCTTTGAATAGTGGTTTGTTTTAGATATCACCGCACAAAGGTAAAGGTGCAGCCTTCACTAGAAGGAGTTCTAGTGAGCCCCAATATAGTGATTATTTTGGCCGACTGTTCTACACTGGCCAGATATCTTGGAAAAGGTGGGAGTACCCACACTTTACCACACCAGACACGATCTGCTGATCCACTGTGGTGGACCTATTTATCCTGCTATGTGGACAGAGGGGCGGGGGGGGGGCAGGAGTTTTAAGAAACTTTCCCATTGTGTCAAATGTCATACTGAGAGTTTGAACCAGTGACCTCTATATTGCAAGTCCTGTGTGTAGTGACATTGAATGAGTCACTGTAAAGCGTGGCGCTGGGAGATTGGTAAACAATGGAATTAGGGGTAGCAGCCCGTTCTACCAGTTGAACCCGTAGGCCAAGCCCGGAGCCATCTGGGGGATTCAGAAGGATGCGTGGCCGAGGGCGGAGCCTGGACACGCTGGGGAGAATAAAAGGCGAGCTCCGACTCACAGTCGGGGCGGCTGCCTTCGGGAATGGAACTCGTCATGCTGCTGTTGTCGTGGTCTTCGCCTCTTCAAGCTGTGGGTCTGGAAGCATGTTGGCTGTCCCAACCCAGTATGGGGTTATCCCCTATGGCTGTGAGAGCTTGAATAAACAAGAGGGATAATGCCTCCTACTTGTGTCTCTGAATTAGTACACTACATTTGGTGTCAGAAGTATTAACGAATTTTTTTGTAGGGTTGTTAGGAATTTTTTTTTTTCCCTTTCCCTTCGAATCCCAGTGGGGGGAGATAGGCTATGTCAACAGCCACGAAGAGGATTGCTTTCATCAGCACATCCTCGAGCAATGAGGGCGACGGCGAGGAGGGATTCCCAGGCAGCCGGGACCCCAGTGGGGGGTCCCGGAGAGGTGGTCCCGGCGGGGCAGTGGGTGAAGGGCGACGAGTGCTGCAGGCACTCAGCGCGCGCATCATGGAGCTGCTGATGGGAGTTTGCGGTTTTGTGTGGATTTTCGGAAATTAAATAAAGTCGGACTCGTATCCGCTCCCATGGATGGACGATTCGTTGGATGCCCTGTCGGGGGGCGCGGTTTTTCTCCTACCCTGGATCTATTGTCGGGGTTTTAACAGTTGCCCCTGGGTGAAAGTTCAAAACCTAAAACCGCATTCCGGACACCGCAAGGGATGTTTCAATTTGACGTGCTTCCGATGGGGCTTCACTCAGCTCCGACCACGTTCCAGCGACTTATGGAGTTGGTACTGTCCAGGCCAGTGGCGGCTCCTGCAAAATCTTTCAGGGGGGGACAAATGTCTGGATGATTGATAAGGATAGGGTCCACCCATGCAATGGATAAATTAACAGCTTAAGCATGTAAAGGCAACTTCACTTCTTTAATATTAATGAAAAATAAAGTGACTCTTACAATACATCTTGTTTGTTTCTATACTCACTATTAAAACAAACCACTCAAGTTTATTTTATTAAAGATTCCACTAGGTGGCAACAAATTATATTGTTGGATGAAACGTGCTTACGTATGATGACGTAAGCACGTATGATGACGTAAGCACGTTAGGGCGAGCCCTCCCGGAAGCCATAGAGAATGCATTGCAGCGCCCCCGTTCAAAAATAAACATCTTTGAATGTAAGTCTATGGGGCCACTCGGGGCGATTCTCAGCTGGAGGGAAATCGCCCAAAAAGAGGCGGTACTCCACAGAACGTGACATGACGCTGATTGGACTATATCCAGAGGCACAGTGACGGCTAGCGTGACTCTGTGGTTGAATGACATTGGTGGTGTGTCGCCCAATCGCCCTAATGAAGAAACCGCCCCTGGTTCAGGCTCCAATGGAAGTCATGTCTGATCTATTTGGATGACTGATTGTCTTTGGTCACACGTTCCAGCAACATCTGCAGCGGTTGCATGTGGTATTTGTTAAAATACGGGCGGCTAATTTGTTACTTCTTGTAAAAGTCGGTTCGCTACCTGGGTCACGTTGTTAGCGAGTCTGGGATCGCCACGGACCCTGTAAAGACTGCGTGCATGCATGAGTGGCCGACCCCCACGTCGGTGGGCGAGGTCCGCAGTTTTGTGGGGTTGGTGTCTTATTACCGCCGCTTCGTGCCCGGGTTTGCAACGACCGCAAGGCTGCTCCACGCTCTCACGGCAAAGGGCCAGAGGTTTCAGTGGGGGAAGGAGGAGGCTGCATTTGTTATGCTGCACGATGGCCTCGTGAACGCACCCCCCCCCCCTCCGGTACCCCGATTTCACCTTGCCATTTGTGTTGGATACAGATGCAAGCGATACCGGGATCGGCGCCGTCTTGTCGCAGGTGGAGAGCGTGGTCGCTTACGGTAGCCAAGTGCTGTCCCCCGCAGAGCAGCGCTATTGAGTCACGCGCCGCGAGTTGGTGGCTATCGTACACTTTGTACAGCAGTAACCGCCCGAACCTCTACGGCAGGCAGTTCGTGGTACGCATGGACCACGTGGCTTTGTAATACCCGCTGTGTTGACCAGCTGTCTGCGCAACTCTCGCGACGGTTGGAAATTTTGCAAGATTATCCATTCGAAGTCACCTATAGGAAAGGGTGGCACACTGCAATGCGGACGCTTTGTCGCCGAAGAGCCAGTGCGCGTGTTTTATGGGCGCCGGCCGTTGTAAGCAGGTAGATGCGGGGGAGCCGGGCGTCATTGTAGCGTCGGTGGATGTTTCGCCGCCCGTAGCGAAGGTGGCACACGATAACACCATTGGTCTTGCGCACGAGGAATGGGGGCGCCCCGCGGAAGACGCCTCCTTACTGAAAATACGGTGCCACGTTGGTGCGCCAGGCGATAGGAATGGTCCAGGGAGTATATCCCCCATGGTCCTCCGAGATGGGCTACTAATGCGCTGGGATACGGAGGTACAGCGGTACTGTATCGTTGTGCCAACTGCTTGTGGGGTAGGGTACCGAGAGATGCCCATGTGCGGCTGATGCACCTAGGGGTGCAGAAAACATTATCGACGTTGAAGCGTGACTTCTTTTGGCCTGGGATGTCGGAAGACGTCCACAACGTGCTTAAAGGTTTTGTGGAATGTGCTCGCCGGAAGCCCCCGCCAAGGCTGGCCCGACCACCATTGCAATCTATCGGGGTGTCCCGTGTCAATGAACTCGTTGCCCTCGACATCCTCGGGCCATTTCCCACCACTCCGAGGGGAAACACATTTTTGCTGGTAGGGGTCGAGAACCTGTCGCGGTGGCCGGTGGCATAGACCCTGCCGGATCAGTCGGCGGCGTCCTTTATGGACGCGTTCCTGTATGGTTTCGTGTTGAATAAAAGGGCTCCAGAACATCTCCTTATGGACCAAGGTCGAAATTTTTCTTCAAAATTGTTGCAAGAGGTATGTGACTTGTTGGGTATAAAGAAAATTCGAACTTCGCCCTACCATCCCCAGACTGACGGAATGGTAGAGCATTTACTGAGGAGTCTTACGTCCATGTTGTGCCAACAAGTCAATGAGGTCCGATTGGGACCTACACTTTCCGGGGGTTCCTGTGGCCTATAGGATCGCCCCTCATGCCTCTACCGGGTTCTCCCTGTTTTTTTAATGTACGGGAGAGAATGTGACCGTCCCATGGAAGCCCAGTTAAATATTGAGCCGAGCAAGAAGAGAGCCACTGTGCCGGGACTTATGAGCCTCACCCTTAAGCGGTTGATGGAAGCACGGGAGGCGTCCTAATTCGGCCAAGCGGCAGGGCTGCGAATGAAAAACTGGCTGGGCTTAAGGAGTCTGGAAACCTGTGGAAGCCTGGGGAGAGCGCATGGCTGCATTGCCCCCAGGTGCCTCTAGGCACGTTTCCTATATTACATAGGCCATGGCAAGGCCCGGTGGAGGTAAATTAGGTGAGAAAGTCGCAGTGTGTGCGGATCCAGGTTTGTCGCAGGCTTTGGTATGTGCACCCGCCCCAACTGAAGCCCTATTTTACACCTTATGAGGGCATTTCATCTCCACCATCTGATGGCCGGGTGATTGATGTGCCCGACGGAGCCGGACATACGGTTACGGATGATACGCCTCAGCGAGGCTCTGTTCCTCCATCTGCAGGATCCCAGGGTCTGACGCCCGTGGAACCAACAGCGGCGCCGCCCACAGGCGGATCGGGGTGGACGGGATGACCGCCACCCGCATCTTCTTTTCCTCCATCTTCATCCCGGGAGGGACCGTGCCCATTGAGCCATCCTTGGGTTACCCCCGGGGTCCCCGGAGGACCCGTGCCGGGCCCATATGAGGGGCCGGCAACGGTTCGGTTCAGATGACCGCCCCTACCCGTCGTTCGGTTGCTGTTATTTTGGGGGCTGGATTGTTGCCATGCATTGCGAATATTGCGTGGATATTGTTGCGTTCGTCATCCCGCTATGTGACGTATAAAGGTCAGCCAGGACGGCTGTTTTTCTTCACGTGGCAATGGGAGATTGGTAGACAATGGAATTAGAGGTAGCAGCCCGTTCTACCAGTTGGACCCGTGGGCCAAGCCCGGAGCCATCTGGGGGATCCAGAAGGGTGCGTGGCCGAGGGCGGAGCCTGGTCACGCTGGGGAAAATAAAAGACGAGCTCCGACTCACAGTCGGGGCTGTCATCGGGAATGGAACTCGTCATGCTGCTGTCGTGGTGGTCTTCGCCTCTTCAAGCTGTGGGTCTGGAACCATGTTGGCTGTCCTGACCCAGTATGGAGTTATCCCCTATCGCTGTGAGAGCCAGAATAAACAAGAGGGATAACGCCTCCTACTAGTGTCTTTGAATTAGTACACTGCATGTGTATGAATCATCGCACTATGGCAGCGCTCATTGTAATATAGCAATAATAAAACTGAAATTTGTTGAACATTTTGTTGTGAACAAGGAAACATTATAATTGTCACATTATCACACCAGATGTATTAATTCTATGCTACTTTTTCCAAGCTTTTATATGATAAAGATAAAGAACACTGCCTGAAAGGCAGGTGTCATTTCCTTCTAATGAGAAATATTGAAATGGCAACACAAACATAACCAAATTTATGCTATATTATATTTGATACAATTTTCACAATGAATATTTCACATCAATAACTGATCAACATTCCAAGCTGTGCTTGCTTCCAATGATCTCCACCTCCGTGCCACCCACCAGCAGGCAACGAACAGTGTGGACGGCCGAGGGATCCTTGTTGTTGGCTGCCCAGTGCAGCGGTATCTTGCCCTCACTGTCCGGTACGCCAATATTGGAGTCGTGCTTGATGAGCATCCGCACATGCTCCGGGTGATTGTAGTAGGCACTCCAGTGCAGTGCTGTCCTCTGTGGGCACACATTGGTTGGCACACCAATACAAACTGGCACCAATCCAGCATCGAAAGGTCAAGTCAAGTCTGTGTACCGCCTGCTCAAATAAGAAAATGAGGGCAGGGCTCATCCCGGTTAGTGTCGCTGAGCCAGTGGTGGAAATTCCATGACCAGATGCTTGGGTGCCAGTGTCTTTATTTGCATAGGACGTCCACGCAAAGGAGGGGAATTGCTTGTCAGAGGGGATTCAAGGAAGAGAGGTTTTCTGGGGAATGACGGTGCACCAGGTGAAACATCAAATATGACCCGGAAACACAAACATTTCATAATTGGGGTATCATGACAAGTATCTGTTGTTAAGAAAACATAAAGCAAATGGAATGACCCTTAATGATCAGATTTCAGAGACATAATTCTCATGGGAAGAATGATTTTTGCAAGTAGCAGTTTGTGAGTTAATTGTGAGCTACAATGTAATTTTCAAAGTAAAATGATTCTGTGTTGTATGAAATCCAAATTCAATAAGAGGTGATAACAGCTTTTTTTATTGTTACTACAATATTCACGGCATATCTCAAGCCAAACTATTTATCCGCACCAATACAGGTATGCATTCCAGGAGTACTGTATGGTCAAATAATTCCCAACGACATGCAGCATGGCATTGAGAATGCCCTCACCCAGCAGTGGATTGAGTTGTAAATGTCAATTTGAGATAGCTCATAAGCATAAAATTCATGCTCATAATTTAGTCAGGAAGATATCAATTCAGTTGAGGTTAAGTTGAGGTCGTTGTCAACATAAATGAAGCCTTTTGGAGAATACAAATTATACTTGATAACTAATTTGGCTCACATGTTGGCCTAACACACGTAAATTACCCCTTTGTAAAGAAATTTGACCGTTGTTTTTGTAATAACGCTAATGCTATTTGCGGATTAACTGGCACGTATTCCACATCTAGAATTAAGTAAATAAATAACCATTATGACATTTTGGCAAGCAATTTTTTTTCTTAATTCTGCCAGATACAGCTCCATGAAAATTACTTTTAAATCTTCCCGTGGCAAAAAAAAAAATGTAATTGCATATTAATACGTTGAAACAACTATCTACAAGAGTGGTATGTTTAAAATGGTTACATTTAGTTCATTTTAAGAATGAAAAGAATTCCTCTTTTAGTATTGTTAATAGTTAGCTTCATTGAATACAAATAATAATCACAATTTCTAGCAGTTATGGCACTGGGCAAAAAAAAAAATCCCTTGTTTATTGAGGATCTTTCTGGTCACAGCCAGTGTTATAATGCCCCTATACCAGAGGCGTTTTAGAGCATAGATTACCATCGAGAATCAGCTCCCAACAACACCCAGGGGTGGCCGTCAACAGGGAGCCTGGCGAGGGCAGGGGTTGATGTGGTTGGACTACAGGATTACAGCTGCCTCTGCTATTAGGAGGAGGTCAAGGTTCCTAATCTGCCCTCTGTGGGTACTAGGGGTAAAATGTTTGACTTAGTATTGCTCTTGTCACACCTTTGTGGAGCCCAGACCTGTAATTTACTGCCTGATAATGAATGCTGATGCCTTTTAGACAAGGGGCTTGTTCAAAATCTGCCAACAGGCCCCGCTTTATCACTGCTGTAACCAATATCTCAATTATTTTTCTTCGGTCTAAATAGACCTTGGTCTGCAAATTGTGGACACCCCAAGTAGGGTCATCGTTCCTGAATGTGTCCCGTGGGTCTCGCACAAAGGATATTTAGAGTTCAACCCTAATAAAATGGGGGAGGGCAAGGGCAGCGAGTGGGAGGACAATCCCATGGGCATGTCAACATACCCATAACATGACCTTGGGGTGCAGACTGGAGGTTTATGGAAACCGCTGTGCTTAACATGCTCACCTCCTTAGTTAAGAAAGAACGAGGGCACAAATTAGGTCCGTTGTCACAAGTCATATTTGAAATAAAACCACTAGAATTGAAATATCTGCCCTGAAGTTAACCAGTCTTGCAAAAAAAAACTACACTAATATAGATGAAGTATGTTATAAATAAGAGAGTTGGTAAGTTCAATACTAGTGGATGTAATATAGATTATTTACGTATGTGTATAAACATATATTCAAGAAGATCTGGTTCTGAAAAAAATGGACTGTTTCTTTTTTTGGAAAGCATAGTTTCTTTCCACTTATTTAACACATGTTATATGTGCGGAAGGTACAAGAAATTTTACAAACGTACAATGAAATACAGTTTCAAAGAAAATATTTTGGAAAAAAAAATGTGATGCAAACCCCACAAATACAGCATTTAATACATATCAGACATCATTTGAAAGGAGCTGCATATTTAAAAATCATCCACTGAAAACTAAAAGAACAACGCAAATCACGCTAAGCAATTCAGCAGCTGCAACTCTGCTCCAGATGATTGCTATTCCTTTCAGTGGGAAAGTAAATATTGAAAAGCTCATTATATGTCGGCGGTAATTACACGTTTGTATCTACGGACATTTCACCGCGTTCGGCCCATTATCTGCTTAACTCGGAATAGGTTTGCCGCAGCACGCAACAGAAGCAGTTATTAATTACACGTTGTGCAGTCGCGGCGCGCTGCCCGAGACGTCCCTGCGGCCGTATCTGTGAAATTAGAGGCGCGTTACAGCGCTGGCAATTATTCACTCGGATGGCTCGCCAGGGCCCGCCGACCGCGCCGAGGCGCGCCCGGCCGTGCCCAGCCACGCGGTCCGAGGGAGGCGGAGGCGCTCTGCGCTCCACACCTGCGCGCAGGGCCAAAATCGAGCCCCCTCCCCACCGCACCGTGCGCGCACAAGCACGCGTGTGCACGCGTGCACGCGCAACCATTGCCTGTGCGCGACGTGTCCGTAATTATGCCCGTGAATCTTGAAAACAATAAAAACTTGTTTTTTTATCCCGCTGACAAATTAAAAACGCCTTAATGGCTAAAGGAATGGCGTAAACCTGCGTGAAATAAAATAGTGGCACATTTAAATATACCTTTGCGTAAAGAAAATAATCACCATTAAATATATGGAGGATGCTGTTATACAATTTACTTTTAGGGAAAGGCTGTGTGACTAAATCAAAACATAGAAAGCGCTGACCGTAAACAAATAATTTTCTACAATTCTACTTAGCTCTAAGACAAATAGTCTCTGTATTAAAAATGAGCATTGCTTCTAAATACTCGTTATTCCAATGATGTATGGCTACCATTTGCAGCGATTTTATTTCTGTTACACGAAGTCATTTGTGCTCGGCAGACAACTCAGGCCAACAACCCTTCAGGGTCAATAAAGTGAGCGCCCCTTTGCGTGACATTGAGCGGCGGCTCTTCAGTCGAGACACTAGCCACCGCCATATGAAGGTGGAATGTGCATAACTGGTTCAGGGCCACCAATAGTCATTTTTGGAATGGAAGTGCTCTGAATTCGACTTGACCTAGACATTCTTGATTTGAATCTTGATTTGTTTGACCTAGACATGCCTGTGGAAGATCAGGTGTGGCTACATATGTTACCAAATAGGGGAAGCATCACGGGTGAAGGGCTGACATGAGTCCATGGAAGCCGTTACCTTCTGGTTGTCCTGCACATCCACCTCACCAGGCTCTGTGTGCTTGAGGAGGAGAGCAAGGCATCTGGGGGTCTCGTGCCGTGTTGCCAGGTGGAGGCCGGTCATGCCCTCCAGGTCCTTTTGTAGCAGACTAGCTCGGCGGCTTAGTAGCAGCTTCAGGATCCGGTAGTTCCCCTGAGTGAGTCAAGGCGCAGGCAAACAGGGACAGAAAAACGCTTGCGGTGTTCACGAAAGCATGAATAAAGATACTTCAAGTGGCAACTAAATGCATTACCAATCTCCATGTTTTCTTTGGCTGAATTTTTTCAGATCAATAAAAACACTAAGTCATAGGTAATTTTTTTAATTTAAGAATTTCAATCAAAGTAATGTAAAGAAAAGTTAAGTCAAAGGAAGGTTTCAGTAAGCAACAAAAATGGTTGGTTTTAGTTTCATATAAATAGAAAGCAAAAGGCTTAGTAGTGTGCCCTTTTCAGCCAGCCCCCTGCCTTTTTTTAGCTGACAGACTGCCGTTCACCATCAACGTCCAAATCAAACCAGCAGGAGCCTGGATCCCAGCTCCCCCGTTGCAGTAAATCTGTGCCCCCCAGTTGCTAGGTCCCACTACAATTCCCTTCACCACCAGAGCTGGGCAAAGATGAAACGTGGCTGTGATGTGCTTCTTAACCACTGTCAAGACCTTGCAGCAGCAGCAGTAGAAATCAAATCAGCAGAAACTGGACATGTCAACAGACTTGCTTTTGGAGCTTTTGCCTCTTGAAAAATAAATGCTAAAATAGATATAAACTCGAGTTTCATGACACTTTTATGGATATGGCTGCATGTGTGTGTTGTAGTTTGTATATAATGTATGTATGCTTACAGTGGGGCATTCAGCACAATATTTCTTCTGACTGTCGATAAAACACTGAAGCGGAAAAGTCATAAAGAGCAATATTTGCTAACAGCTATTAGAAAATATTGTAGAACCGAATCATCCCTATGTTAGTTCCATCGTATCCATTGCCATGCACAAGTAATATATCATTCTACTAGGACTCCTCACACAAGAACCATCGAAGAAAACTTATGGCAGAAGGGCAGTTATAAGAGGGACGTTACGCAACAACCAAAACGGAGACATCGTGATGGTACATATATAGTATAATCGGGCTAAACATTTTACCCCATAGACGCTGTTACGATGAAGCATTGCATCTAAAAATGTGAAGCGCTTTGTTTTTTCTTCTCCCCCTTATTTAGAGCATTAAGACTATTTTTAACTCTTAATAAAAGCCATATGCAGTATTTGTTGGTTTATATATAGCTACCCGATGCACAATGCTAAACTAAGAAGCAGCTGCTCTTTCCTTAAAGGCCCACAGGCTGCATAATTTGCATGCAGCGGTTTTTGTCTGACACGGATGGACCGCTGCCAACTCTGCACCCCATGCAGCAACCGCCACAGGTCAGCACCATCTGCCAGCATGTGCACATCTTGCTAGACAGCCAGACAGGAGGGCGTCGCGAAACGTACGCATGTGTACGCGCGTGTGCCTCGCTCGACCGTCTGAGGTTTCGCGTGGGTGTCCATGCACTGAGAGTGCGCGTGCACTTGCGCGCACGTTAGCTCTCCCACGTGTACGTGGAGTGATGGTTTAAGGTTGGCGCAGGGAGAAATGAGGGCTCCCAACTCAGCAAGCGCGAGCTCAGTGAAGCCAGAGACACACGTCCCAACGCGGATTGTCTTATTTCATGGTAACTCGCCCTGGCAAGCAGGCATATGTATTACGCATCGCAGACTAAAACATATTACTGGTACAATGATCAGCTTATTCTGAAAAAAAGAAAACCTGTAACAGTGAATGTTTTTTCCATTGAATACTTTTGATGTATTCCTAAAATATTTATTTTAAAATGTCTGTGTAATTTGGAAAGTAATTATCTTTTACATTACAGCAAACCATTTACAGCGTAAAAAAGGTATTTCTAATTTAAATTAAGAATACTGTTATCTTGCCTGCAGCTTAACTAATTTATGTGCCTTGTGTAAAAAAAATATTAGCAATAAAAATATCATCAAAAAGCTGTCATTACAAATTACAATCCTCAACCGACTTACAATGGCCATAAAATGATAAATATTTAGTTCTGCTTAAACGCAAAAGGATAACATTCACATTTTGCAAACATGAATGAGAGATTGTCTGAACATAAGCAATGGCTTATCCATGAAATTGTTTTTTATTAACTACGGGTTTGCTTGCAATTTTACAAGGTGTAATTATACATTTTTACAAGGCTCAAAATAACCAAAACATGATTGTGTAGCGACAATGTGGCTGCTTTCCTGCAACACACACGCTCCAGCTCCGCCAGCCATGCCTCTGTGTGCAAGCGCCTGGAAATTTCCCTCTCTCATCTGGGCGGGAGGGGGGGGCGAAGGTCAAAAGCCTGAAGTGCTGTTAATTTCACGCCGCTCTAGTAAAGTAAATTCAGCCCAGCCGCACTTCATTTGGCATAACGGCCAAACCATTCGAGTGTGTCTTAAATAACTTTATTAACAATATCTCCACCGGTGCTGCGCTTAATGGAGAGCGGCGCTACGGCTGCTATCAATCTAGACAACGGAGGCTGGGATGTGACGGGGGTTATTGCTCAACACTGCTTTCCTCCACCACGAAGTGCCACGGATCTGGCCATGGTGCTGAACCAAATGGTTAAAGTCTCAGTTTAATTCCTCAGAACAGCTTGGCTAATGAATGTTGCATTACAGTAATTAGAAACTAAAAAGACACCATTACATCTCCATATGCTTTGAGACGCATTGGGAGAATTATTATATACGCTATTAGGTTTAAGCTTCCAACAGTATGTTGCAGTACAATGTATTTCACATAAATGCTGTACATGGCATTCCACGGCCTTTACCCAGTGGATTACCATAGGACTGTAAATTGTAAATACGATATGGGCACTAGTGAAATAATCAGAAAATTCACATTAAAACCACCTTTAATGCCACAACAAAGAGTAATAATTGAAAAGATTGCAACATTGATTTAAATGTCTACTAAACACAATCTAATTGTGTGTGTGTGTGTGTGAGGAGGCAAAAAGCACTGCAAGGTGGATATGGGTGAAGGGCAAACAGATGTGCATCTTAGTTATCGGGACAACTATTAAGCGTCCTCCGGTATAGTGTGGCATGCTATTGTTCACCAAGTTTAACGTCAGTGTCAGCATTGTAACATTGCAATTTATTTCAGTGTGCACAGTTATAATTCCGAAGTGGAATAGTGCACGCATCAGTAAAGGACAAGGGTTCGGTTGCATTGGTCTTGTGTTGGGAAGGCTGATCTTTCTGACAACATGGGGTAAAATCCACTGAATCCTGAGAATCCCAAGCTGTTATGCTGGTGGAACAAGTTGAAATGGATTTAATTGACACAAAGGTGGGTTGTGGGTAGTGATATTGTGTGGGGGATGGAAAAGGCCTCGAGTTGGAATACAATAAAGCACCAGCACAGGCTGGAAACAGCTTCATCTGGCTTCATGGGAGGACAGCAACGGTAGAGGGTGTGTGGTCGGTCAGTGCGTGAAATTAGCTTGTATTGTGCATGACCATTATTTTAAGTTTGTTACAGTTGGGATGTCACCAATGTGGAAGATCTGTAAGGCAGAGTTTATGTGAGAGAGAGCTTGTACGTGGGTAACGGCGGTGCTTAGATATGATAGAAGGCGCGTGGAGAGAAAGATTGAGGGAGAGATCTCGGCAGATCAGGGTGCAAAGCGAGATAAGTTCTGATCAAAGGCCTAAAATATCGGTGAAAACTGATTATAGGCCCATCAGTTTTTCTGCTGAGCGAATGTAAACTGTAAAATGAAACACAAACATAAGTACAAAGCAAGAAATAAACACATGATTAAGCTCTAGAATATATCCCTTTTACAAGCACATTTTAATGGTATACAAATATTAAATTCTCACATTTTCTCAAGTAGGGTTTTTCATTTTTTATTTAATGAAAGTATAAAGCGAGACTAAATTCAACATATCATTAACAATTTTTAAAAAAACTAATGACGATGTCATTTAACATTATTAGAGGATTTAATCTTGTGATATACAGTACGGTATGTCTAAGTACCTGTATTAACACTGTCAGAACATTTTTTTAAAATGTCTTCTTGAGAAACCTAACTTTGTATATTCAGTAAAAAATATTTTATTGCACTTACTCGACTGTATTCACATTGAACCCGCATTACTAACATACAACCCGGAGTCTACGCCATTCTGTTTACATCAATGCACTAATTCTCATGACCTACATCAGGCTTCAAGTCAATACAGCAGCAATGTGTTCTATTCAGAATTACCTTTTCTTTGTTGCCGTACAAGTTACGTAAATAAACAATTATCACAAATCCTAGGTTGTTTAACACAAATTATAATTGTGAGGCGCAAATAATGTATTCAAACAAAAACATTATGGCTAAGGTTCACAGCAAATGTAAAATGTACAAATGATTCCTTAATTGCCACAGCACTTCCAGTGCAATGCAATTATTGGCAGTGTAAGTACTATGGAAGTAATACTATTTGTGTGTAAAGGAGACAATTCAGGCAAAGGGGCTTTTTTTTGTTCCGTGCTGAACATGAAAGATCATTCTCACACAAGTGTATGGAAGTAGTTTCGTGGCAGGGGTCAGAGACTCGTCGCATGAGGGACAGGGGGGAGAGGGGGGGGGGAAACACTTAACTGTGGTCTGAAAAAGTACAGAGGAAACATTTTTGTACTCTCTACTCTGCACTTTATCAGCATATGTAAAATTAAACAAGCATGAAATTTCTGAGCGCGATTGGTATTTATATTCCTTGTGTCGCCGTCTCCCGCTTCTACAGCCAGGCCTTTTTACGGCAGGGAGATCAATGGAACGGCATTCATCTCCGCCTTCCGTGCGGCGCGAGTCATCCTAACTCGATTACCGCGCCGCGCAAGACAGATGTAATAAATCTGTTTCATGGATGATATCACGGGAACACAGTTTCTAATTACCGCAGTAAATTTACATATTCCTCCTGTTTTGATGTGTGGTCAAGCGCGAAAAACCCTTTTCGTCCCGCTGCTTCCCCAGTCAGCTGTTTGTAATTGCCCGCCAGCCACGTGACTTTAATGGATTGTGCTCTCCGCGTGCTGAAGCAGCCTCAAGACCGGGTCTGGCTTGGCCCACACTTTGCCATTAACCATTTCAGTCACTCCGGGGCCCCCAGAGCTTGCGCCACTGGCACGGTCTGTAACAACTCCACTTGCAACGAGGGACGCGGGCACGACCACCCCACCACCCCACCACAAACAACGCTCATGCGTAACCCAAACGATAGAAAGATATCTGACAAAAAATGCCCTGAGTGGTCTCCACATTACACAATCGTGGCTAAGTAAACTGGCGAAAATGTAAAACCATTTATTGAAAAAGATCTATTGAAATCGGCCGAAAAAAGTTTGAATGACGTCTACAGCATACCTCGTATAGCATGCAAGGGCTTAAATAAGTTTGCCCCTTTGAGAGTGGCTTAGTGGTTGTGTTTAGTTGAATGTGTTAGATAATGGTACAGGATGTGTGTTTTATTATAAGTACACGTGTAGGCTTGTTTGGCTTCCCATCTAACTTTGGCCTAATGGTTTTTATTTGTAGTCATCTGCCAGGTGTCATTCTGTTGAGGTTACTAATTAGCTGTAATTAATCTTTATGCGCTTAGCGTGTAATTGCATTTAATTAGACACACAGCCCCTCAGGCTTTTTAGCAGGGGATGCCATTCACACAGATTTTCACGCACAGACAGATAGATGGATAGGTAAACAGCATGAAAATTATACACAGTATATGTAAAACTAACAATGCATACATTGAAGGTAAATTGGGTAGTGTTTTTAGCAGCATGACTTTGAATATATTACAAATGTGTGTTTCAAGTGCCGCAATTACCGAGAAACATTACAAGTTAGATATTGAGGTTAAACGCACCCATTGACGACATTAACGTTGAACTGTTTTTTTTTTAAAGAAAGTTACGAGCATAATGCTCAAAATACTGGGCTAAATTAGGGGTGAGGTGCCCCAATATAGCTTGCTTTTTAAAAAACAAACTCCCTTTATTTCCATGTAGACACCATTTAGCGCATTTACAGCTTTCAATGTTATTTCTGCAGACTCAACAGTTCGTAATACTGTACATTAAAACACAAATATGATATGAAATGAATGTGTACAGTAACTTAAAAATATATTTTTGAAACTTACTTGGTCTGGAGGGGTGCGGTGTACTGTACAGTACCTGGTTCTCCTTGATACGTGACGTTTGTACACAGCATTGAAACATAACTAATAATTCAGAATTGCTCTGCCCACCATTCAAGTTTCATCTTTGGGAGTAAGATTGTCCTTCTGTGTATATCTGTACTAATTACAGGAATTCTCCCAACAAGAAAAAAATTATATGCAGGGCACGGTCGGTCTACGCAATTCTGAGGAGACTGCAACACATTGCCAATGTCTAGTGTTTAAATGGTGTCTTGTTGACGACAATCCCTTAAAAATCTATTTGCTCGAAGATGCAACGTAAAAAAAATTGGGTTTCCCATTTCAAAAGTTAATGTACAATATTTTATTTGTTCTAGTCACACGAAAATAACTGAACCATCAGTTCAGAGTGAAGCCATTCAAGTGGGCACAACAATCAAAACAAAATTAACAGAGCCCGTCAGCCTAGAACTAATAACCGTTATATTATTAATGACTAAATAGGCACGCACACAACATTCAAAGCGCTGTACTCGAAGAAACAGAAAATGTGCGAAACACTACCTTGCCTGGAGTTCAAACAAACAGTTCTCCGCTTTAGTAGGAGTCACGGCGCGTGCAGCAATTCAATATTTCCAATAAAGAAAAGCCTCTGTTGCTCAGCCTACCCCAAATCCCAAGTTTATCCAATCAGCAGGAGCTGAGTCTAACGGCCATGGTGAAGAAACTCCTTCCTCTCCCCCAGGCGTCGGGCTCGCGTGCAGGCCGGGGTTCAAACAAACCAAAAGACAAGTGCAATATCAATTGCGGGCTGTGATAGTACTCATGTGCACTCTCTCGTTCCCCCTTGCGCTCGCTGACAAGCCACTCGAGGGCTGCCAAAGGAAGCGGCTCCAGCAGCTCGCACCCCGGCCCCCAATTACAGCACGAGGGCCTCTGACAAGGACTTGAGTGCTTGACATATAGAAATGAGCTTGTTTATTGATTCCACGTCTGGGCAGTCACCCCACTATCTTGTAAACGCTGGAGCGCCGCCTCAGAAACCCTCAAATTAGACGGTGTTTTGGGAAGCCCAAGAGGGCGGGCAGTTTGATAAGGAGCAGCTACTAAACGCTCGACGGAAGAACAAATCATAGCATTATGACAGATTGATGATTCCCAGCGGCTCGCCTGCCACGAGTGTCGCACTGCCTTGCAGCGGCGAGCCAAGGTGCCGCGGCGGAGGCAGCGCCAGAGCCAGGGAGAGCGTGTGCTCTCGTGCTCCTCCTTGTTCCCCTGCGAGGCCGTGTGATGAAGAGGTCTGAAAATGCCAGGCCGATTGATCGCCCGGGTCGGCTGGAGAGACCATGGGCGGGCTAACGAGGCAAGAAGAGAGGCACAAACTGCCAAGAGCGGGATGCCTTTGCCAGCCGCGTGGGGTGAGGTGGGGGGGGGGGGGAATGAGAGGGGTGGTGGAAAGCAATTTACTGCAACAACAAGTAATAGCGATATAAACAACGTGCGCTCCTGGGTATAATAATGGGTTTTTTTCCTTCTTTTTCACACCTAAGGGGGTAACACGTATTATCATTAACGGCATCAAAGTGCCAATTATTACACCCTTGACCAGCTTAAAACTGCCCTTTTTTTCTTAACGTTATTTATACAGTTTCCATTTAAATTGGAGAAAAATCAAAGGCAGCAGTATATTGCAGTCATTTTATACAAATAGATTTTGTACAAATATTTTTTTTAAGTATAGATGTTTTTTTTTTTAAACCATGTTATTTTAGGATTCGGATGTATTTATAGCTGTGTAACCCTGGCCGCAAGGTGTAAAAGCCATCAGCGAGCGGGGGTTTAACCAGAGTTCAGCATATCCAGTCCTGCCGAGGCAAGAAGGGAGCACTGGATGTACCATGGGAAGCCCAGTTCTGCCGCCGATCGGCCGACACGCGATTCGTCTTGTGAACCCAGGAGGGACTGAGGATCCACGAGCAGATAACTCACGTCGCTTCAGACCACAAGCTGCCTCCTCCTCCACTCCTGAGCTTCCTTGCTCACCTGACAGCCTCCGTGCAAGTGAAAGGTGACGGTGATCCTTTATGAAAGCCTGACTTAGGGTCACGCGGAGGGGAGCGCGACGTAGCAATGTCAAGACGACGTCCCACTTACTGAAACGTGAGAAATGTCAACGCCTTGCGCCTTTCAGTGCAGGATCGCACTGGCAAGTGCCCCTCATTCACGTTTTACATCTTTGCAGCGGTTTTTCAACAGTTCCTCAGGGTCGCATGCCAGGTCAGACACTAGCCAATTTCAACACACTGTCTCCAAACATAAACACGGCCAGTGCACTCAAGAACTGCGCGGCTTTTTAACTTTCTAAGTCAGCAGGTCGCGGTACCTTTTGTGCAGCGAGGTGCAGAGCGGTGCGCTTGCTCTTGTCCGTTTTGTTGACGTTGGCCCCAGCCTTGAGAAGGGCCTCGGCACACTCTGGCCGGTCGGCCAGCACGCAATACATGAGCGGCGTGCGCCCAAACTGATCCGGAGCATCCCTAAACTCTGGGTTTGCTGGCAAAGAGCAATGCAGCAGCAGCAGCAGCACAAGTTGTACTCATGTTAGGGTGATAAATTAAATGTTTTTGCGAATTCATCCATCAGTGGCCGCGAATTAATATTTAACGCAATAAATTGCATCTGACTTATTATATCTACACTCTGGTCACTGCTGCAATATCAATGTTTATTGCTTTCAAAGGATGAATCTGCAACGGATAAACTCCATCTACAAGATTCCCACTATGTGGCGCCACTAGCTTAAATGCTCAATGGCAATAAACTTCGAAATGTTGAAGAGTTACAGTTTACATTTCGGTTGACACCACAACTTACATAGCAAATAAAATCCAAGCGTGGTAATGAAAATGAGCGAGGTTATATACTTAACATGTTCAAATGTACTGAACTTTTTTTTTGTTCACAACAAGACATGTGCTACTTGCACGGCAAGCATTTTACCTTCGTATACAATGAAGGAGAACATATACAAATGTCACATGTTTTACAGCCCCAAAGTGGCTTAAGGCGTTTTACTTGGCCACAGCTACACCGGGAATGCAAAGCGAAAACTGCTAACAGATTCCACGACGCAGCCACTACATTAAGGCCCACAAACATACATCTTGTTCTTGAGAATGTATTGTAAAGCGAGGACTTGGTGGCAGGATGCAATAACCAACACATTTCTCTGTTGCGCCTGTCTGACACGTTCAGCCCAGGAACCCAACAGTAAACAGCGCACTCAGCTGTGAGATAGCATTATTGTTTTCCCCTGTGGCTCAAGAGCATTAAAAATAAACTGTCCCATAGCAACTTATGTTCCCACTCGCACACGATTGCTGTCCCAAATTTATGACCGCCCCTTGGAGGGGAATAATAAAATCGCATTTTATTTCTGCACCGTGATCGCTGAAAAAATATATATATACGGGTAATGTACTCGATCAAAAAAAGTGTTTTTTTTTCTCCCTCCCAATATGACACCATATCACTCAAATATTGTATAGAGAATGCCAAGTAAGATAGTGGACTTCCTGCAGTGGCTCCTCTTATGTTTAGAGAGCTCATAGGATCACTGTCGGGTGAGCTTTTGGCCTTATGGTATTTACAGTTCTGTAACGCCTGTAATGGCACTACCATTTTTTGAATCACAAAAAAGCTTCGGTTGAAAATAAGTGGACATAATTCCCCACTACCCTGTGATTATGTATGCGTCTATGTATATCAGTGCTTAAATTCTATATTATTATTACGAATGTCGAATTTGGCCTATAAAAGTTCGATGATGGAAAACAAACTACATTCTTTCTGTGAACAGTTTAGACGGTTACATTGGAAATATAATAGCATTATGTGGTAATAGAATTGATAAACAGAGGGGGGAAATCGCTAAAAGGATATGAAAGAGTTAATTTCAGCAGGAATGCCTTCACACGTACATGACTAGGCACCCCCTGTGTGCTAAGGAAAGCAGGCTGAAGGAAAACTGAAGACCGTCTTTCTGATGAAAATCATATTTTCTAATCAATGAACCTCCACAATCATCAACAACGAAATATACCATAACATTAACAAATATTTAAAAATTTTAAGTTTCAAACAAGCTTACAGAATAATCAAGAAAGGCATCGACATTGTCTCATACGAAATACACTTTCCTCAACCAAACCTGCTCCTCCATGACCATACTTACTGTTCCGTAGGACTATTAAAGCAGGGAGCAACAACGCCTCATAAAACGTCCCACCAAGATGCAGCCAGAGACAGAAACACATACCTTATACAATTTGCCTGCCACATTGAAAGCCAGAAAGCACAGAAAAGCACAGCACCACCACACCTGCAGAAAGTCATCTTATCTACCACAGCACAGCTTCGCCATGCCTGTCTGTATCCGATTAAAAAGTAACACCCACACTCATACGCAAGGCAGTGTGAACATCAGCTAGCATCACGGGCAGATCTGAAACGTCGCGTACAGGCAAGGCTGACTTTAGCTAAAATCCACATCTCGCTCTGACTGAGGTGCCTGTTGATTCGATGGCAATTATATTCAAATCAGTAAACTAAAATGTCATGGCTAAGAGCATTTACTTTAGTGCCTAGGTGTGATAAGACTTAAGCATCTCATAATAAATGTTACTCTGATAATCCCTCTGCCTTGAAAACGGACTAGGAATGGCCCAGTTTTTCTTTTATGATAACCGTAATGGTGTCAACTGGAATCCCTTAAAAGTGGCTAATCGCAGTGCTTGCAATAAGTGCAGCAGATATCGCAGCCAATACTTTTTTTTTTTATAAACCACATTTTTGTTACACACTGTGATGCACCGATAGACGACCATTGCTACATGGAAGAGGAAGTCCCTGCCAGAGAGGAAGCATTTTCATTTTTATCACATCTGATTCCTAATTAATGTCAAATTAACCTTAAAAATTTCAGATTAGGGATCTGATTAGCAAATTAGCAAAACCATCATTAATTTTTTCATCAGTTCCCCAGACTACAAGCGGCAGCAGTAAAAGCATAATTAACCTCTCTGGTAACATTAGGTCAATCCTTTCCCAGCTGTAATATGAAAAGAGAAGGAAGCTGCTGTACGCTTAAACGCTTCTGTGAGAAACTCACATTTACCCGCAAGTTCATTGCAGTTATTGCTGGGTTTATGGAGCCCTTATTACATCTCCATTATAGACAAAAATGCACACATTACTGTGTGAATACAAGCCACCATTTATGATGGAAAAAGACCATACAATGAAAGACATTTGGATGCCATAATGCTATGAAAAAGCAGGCTTTGCTTTATGCATAAATATAACCTGATACCGTAACACATCACTCCCAAGAGGCAAACTCAAACACGCATGTTTTATTGGCTGTGGTTTTTAACGTAAGCAATGTTTCATATAATGTGTCCCATACAATAGCTTTTACTGAAGCTGGGTTATAGGGCATGCCCATGTTTGCCAATCGCTTCTTTGTACGATTCATCATCATGATGTACGATTCACCTCGCAGAATTAAAAAGTGTATTCAGCGATACTCTTAATTTGCATTCTTTGAAATAACATTTGTAAAAGAAAAGACTATGTAATCAAGGGATTGAAACTAATAAAGCAAAAATTAATGCTGCCAAAAAAATAAGCACACATCTGAATATAATAATTTTTTTCACATCTCTAATGTAGATTGTTAATTAATTTCAGTTCAAAATTGAAATGGATATCTTGTTAACTGCCGTGCTTAACAAAGATGATGGATCTTGGCTTTGTATGAACATGTTATTCCAATTGGAAGAATCTGCAAATGTACATACCGACCAATTACAAGACGGACATGGGGTATTCCTCAATGAAGATAATCTAGTCCATAAACCTCAAATGAGTTCATAATCATCAGCCGTGATCAATCCACTGCTAGATGAAGGCCACCCTAAGCCATTGCCATCTCATGGTCCTGCTATGTAATAATCCACCTAGCGCCTGCACACGAGCTCTGTCTCTGGCGTGGACGTACGCTGAAATGAATTGGGCACCTACTATATACCATATTTTCACAGAATTGCTAGTAATCGTTCTTTGTTCACCCATTAAATCTGCCACCGATTCTCAGGATGGGCTTTCTTGCAATGTATTGTCAATTCCTTATTGCGCCTTTTTATGTGACTATTTATTTATTTGCACAGAGCCTATTCAGGTGATCTACATGTAATTTGGAGGGAGTGGTGGCGCAGTGGTTCGTGCACTGCACTTTAACCCCAGTGACCTGAGTTCAATTCCCAGAAAAAGCTGACGTCAGTAGTAGTGAGTGATATCGGAACCGGTCCACCAGGGTGTGCCCCCTTACAAAACCTGCCTGACCAGCATAGTGAAACAAGGTCAAACAACCCCCATGACTGATATGGCATGGGGAGGCCCTCGTCTAGCTGTGGATTTACAAAGGGCTGAATAAGAGCGTTACTTTTGTAGTATTCTTGAATGAGACCGACACTTTGTAGAGGCCACACGCTTTTATTCCGATAACACTAGTCCTCAGGACTCACTGGGGAAACAGTCCCACACACACAACCTAGGGAGGTACAGCCTCCGGCTCTATTCTCATTTCTCTCCTTCCCTAGCCTACAGCTACTCAGCTACTCTCTTCCCTAGCCTACAGCTACTCAGCTACTCTCTTCCCTAGCCTACAGCTACTCAGCCCACTCAGTTCCAGCGGGGCGGCATCCTTGAGGCTTGGGGGTCCAGGATCTCCGGCTCTCCTCCTTCAGCTTCTCCTCCGATCGACCCCTCCGCTCTCCGGGAGCCGTCTTATATATCCCCTCTCTCTGAGGGGCGGGGGTGTCTCGGGCCCTGGCTCTCGCCAGCCCCCTCCCCTCAGAGCCGTTCCAACCACCTCTCGTCCCTGTCAATCCGGGCCGGTCCAGACCGGTACGTACCTCTCCCCTAGCTTGTGTGACCTGTGTGACCTGTGTCAACCTTGGTGTCAACCTTGACCACCACACTTTTATAGGGCTTTTGTGTCATAAGGCGCACAAGGGGAAGATTTGAGGCGGTGACATGGCTGAGTGGTAGCATGTTTGCTGTTTGTTGCAGAGGTTAATGGTACAAGCACAGTGGCTGTCCTGGTTAATACTGTGGGTGTATTAACGATTCAAATATGCGGCGTCTGCTTCACGGTGGACGTTAAAGATACCGTGACAAAATTTGAAAAAGAGTAGGCCATGCGTGGCAGGTGTCATAGTCCATGTTTGATCAATTACTCGCATATTATCTTAATTGGGAAAAAAACACCGTGACATCACCCCCCACTTGGAAGACTAATGCCCATTTACTGTAGACAGTTGGTAATGTCAAGACATTGTCACGCAGGGACAGCTCCCACTGGATGTCCCCTTGACTAGACTGCAGCAGGGCAATGAAATGGTTAAGATGAGATTTAATATCAGGAACATGCTTGGAGTTGCCGGAGTATTTAAGCACTCTATAAATGCAAATCCTTATCCTTACCTGCAACAATCTTTTGCAGTGCGGAGCGATCCCCATTGATGGCGGCAGCGTGGACCTGGCTGGTCAGAGAAGGGCTCTTAGAGAGGGACAACTCTGAGGCAGAGGCCATCAGCCTTGGCTGTGGCAGATGCAGCTGGCTCGTCATCCCATTCTGCAGCACACACAAAAGGCAAATTTAAATGCATGTGCTACTACTAAAATATCACACCTCACTTTGCTGTTCTGTAATGCTTGTAAGGTGAATGCAAAGTGCTGTAATGTGAAATGACAATGCTATGAGAGTGGAAATCCAGAGCATTTGAATTCAAATGTTTTGTTAATTAAAAGTCACACGAGTACAATTTCATTGGTTTACACCACAATCATACCTCACTTTTCCAGGTATTCCGAGGAATAGAACAAGATTGTTAATACATTTTAAGTGAAAACAAGGCAGTATTAACTATCAATGTGTGATGTGTTCATAAAGCTACACCTGTTAAAATCACTGCAAGTCAAATAGATAAATTTGTATTGCACTTAGACAATTATTTACTCTTGGATTGCTCTCCTGAGGCCTATACAATTAACTTTTGTCATTATTCTTTTAAGATTACATAACTTGGTTCTTTGAATGTTGAGCACATCCAGGGAAACAAACTAAGGTCAAGAAACTAAGCTATACCAATCATGCCAACGTATTGGTTCAGCACATTGTCATGATTACATCTTGGTGGAAACTCAACAATGACTTGCATATGGAAAGAATGGCCCTCTGTTATAGGAATGTGGAATTATCACAAGTGGTCCTGGTCCACCAATGGAGATGAACACCGTTTGAACGGGGAGATACTTTGACTTTGAATATTAATGGCACTTTCTTATTTTCATCTAAATTCCAACTCAAATCTCTCATAGCCAGTGAGAAACAAATAACTGCAGAGGGTACAGTAAAGTCATGCAGGTAACAAGAACAACACAAGGCATTCCAGCAGTTCTCGTGCCCTTGACACGTCTGATAAATGTGCATATACACTATCTCCAAAATGTTATAATTTTACATCAAATGGAAAGAATTCTGACAGGGCAGTATTGATGATGTTCAATTAGTTACAATACTAAGCTTATAAATATAAAATGCATTCTTATTTCCCCACAGTAATTGAAACACAGGAATTCAATTTTATATCCAATGTCTAATATTTTGTACTATTTCTTTTTGACCTTAGCATTTCTTGGTATTTATTTGTTCAAAAAAGCACAACCTTCAGAATCGATTAAGAGTTACTTTCAAAATAAAATATTAGTGACTTTTGCAGAAATGCCACATTTGACTTCAAGAACTTTAAACATGTATAGTGTATAACCACAATACACCATTTAATATATTTACATATCATTTAGGAGTAAATGATAACTTGTTTTAAAAATATTTAACTGCAAAGGTTGGTATATGCATGATTTAAATATCGAAAACAGAAGGCACTACATTTGTTTGATCAAATTGGAAAAGCACAATGGCACAATCTTTGAATACAATCAGAAAAGTTCCAAATTCAAAAAAACTACCTTAGGAAATACTATTACACGTAAAATTGAGTGAGGCTATATCTAGACCCCCCCCCCCCCTGAATTATGGCAAATTATAATATTTTAGCCACTTTATAGCATTCGTAGGTTGAACGTGCTTCGATCCATATCAATCAATGCCTAACATGCCCTGAAATTCCTGACATTCTATCGTTTTCATCCTGAAGACACCACGTTTATATTTTGCCTCCGTCGATACGAAATACGTTCGGCATTTCCAAAGACCCTCGGTTTTTTTCATACACGCAGTTCAGCTAGTTTGTTACTGTAAAAATGTGTAATGCATATTTAATTAAATTAATCATCTGCAATGATCTGAAAATAACTCATCTATTAGCAAAACCCACAGCTGGCCTAAAAGGCGACGTGAGCTGCCTTCCAGAACCATCTATCATCGGGCGCACACGGCACCCACTTCTGCCTCCTGCTCGCACGTAATAGTCGGCCTTGTTTCATTACTGACGTAGATACATGGGATGCATTAATTTGCCTGATGAATCATGGATCAATGTCCTGTAAATTAAAAAAGGAAAAATTCCCATGCACTGTAATTAGGCATGCGATGGTGCGGGCCAGCTAGCTCTTCTCGAGGTCCGACACGCGATCCTTTATCGAGGGATTCTCCTCCACCACCATCACCGTTTCTGATCTGCACACCTCCGCTACAAATGGAGGCTTGCTTCAAGAACATTGCAAAGCAACCAGCGGTGATATTTGTGTGTTGTATTGTTTATTGTATGCATGGAGAATGGCACATTTCATGCCTACTCTGTTTTGGAGTCCTTTAATACACTACTGTTTTGTGCATAATGATGGGATGGAAGAAAATGTGGAAAATTACGTTGATGCGGACTGCTTTCTGTATCTGAATTAGATTTTTTTTACCATGCCATGCAGCTCCTGAAAAAAAACGTGTCATATTTTTTAAATACTGTCGTTGTACAGTATTTGTGGTCCTACATCGAGTTTTAGATATCATTTATATGCAAAATTAATGTAAATGTTAATTTCACTTAGCTATTATGCATGTAAAAGAAACTAGGAAGGTATAATTAAAGTCAAGTTCATATAGGTTAACATTACCATCATCTTAATAATAGTTCTGTAAATATTATGTAAATGGCACAATCATTGTATTTCTGCAATGTCAAAATGAGAATAATCATTTTATATGCTTGACATTTCATTGCTTTGTGGAAAATGCATTTTAATACTTGGACTTATCAGGTACTGTATAATGTATCACAGTGCCAGGATAAATGATAAAAAATAGTTTTTTAAGGAACACTTTTATTGCTTAAACCTAAATGTGATTTTCATTCAGCGTCTCATAAATACAAATGAGGAATTATTTGTATTCGTAAAGTTAAATTATACTCTAAAAGGCTTGTTATTAAATGAGTTGACAATTTACATAATCCATAGAGACTGGTAGCAAAGCAAAAAAAAGAGCCAAATAGATAAAAAAAAATTAAGCACAGTGCTTTTAAACACAGCCTTTTCCCAAATGTACAAAAACTATCTTTACAGCTTCTGAAATTCAGTGTGCAGCATTGTTGAAACCTGTATCTTGTTTTGTTCTTTTTCCATTTCACACTAACGAGATAAATGTAGTGGAATTTAAGTAAATTAGGTATCTTTGTGCCACCTGAGCTTTTTTGTTTGGAAGACTGTGTAATTTACTGTGACACGTCTATGAAGTCTCGCTGCGTACACCAAATCAATCGAGCACACGAGCAAGACGGTCTTTGTGCTCCGCTTGTTAGATGAAGGTTTTCTTTAAATGAGGAAATGTCAAGCAATTAACGAACAGACAGCTGACTGAGGTCAGAATCTACTTGCAGAATCTCTGACAGTTGGATCGTCAAGAGGCTTAGCCATGGCTGACCTTTTTTAAAATAAAATAACTGCCGAGTAATGTTTTTTTATTCCCCATTAATTGCGCACAAAGCCATACTTAACATTTTATTTGAAATTTACGTGTTTGATTATTAAGAAGCTATCGTTTCTCTTTCAAACGCTTTCATGTGGAAAACAAAGTTCCTCATTCTCTTTGAAATAACTGTAGGCATTTCGCCGATTGCCCGATTTTCAACAGCTCCGGGCATGTCATATTTCAGTCAATTGCTTTGGAGAAAAATACACCATAATTGATCAACAACTAAGTGATCCTTTCTCCAGATGTTAAATCATTTCCTAGTTTATAATTACTACTATAATGAGCCAAGAATGTCTGTTTGTGTGTAACGCGCGTGACGTCACTCCACATGCCGCACCCCCCGTCATTAATATTCATGAGCGGGTGGATTTTAACACTCACGCAGAAGGTCGAGCGGAAACATTTTTTTTTGCAAATTCGCTTTAAGTTTGACGTTTCTTTATTGAAAGTTAATCTAATAAATAATTCAGCACTTGCGACAAAAGGTAATTCTAATTTATGCTTCGACATTATGGTAAAATAGACATTTCTCGGTGATTTTCCAGATATTGTATCGAATTCCAATTTATTTCAACCCAGCGACCGAAAGCAAAAGAGAATAAAGTATCAGAGCAGTGAATTTGAACAAATTGAAGGTCAGTTATATACAGTGCTACATGTAACATGAAGTGAGGTGTTTTATGACTTTGTTTTGTGCCAGATTCACTGCCATTAATACAGTGCTACAGTGAAATGCAGTGAAGTGTTTGATGACATACTTTCGTGCAAGATTCACTGCCATTAATTTTACACAAGATACAATTATACTCTGCTCAATTTTTTCGTAAATATTACAGCTTCCGTCCTAGTTAGTAGCTTAATAAAGTATCACCACGGGTATCAAAAGAAATGAAATGGCCTTTAACACAATTTAAAAAATGCTTTCAGGGCTGTCATCTTTCTTTAAAAAAAACTCGATACAATTAAAATGTTAAAGTCTAGCACTCTTGAGAGGCATGATAGGAAAGTTACTACTCCGTACCGACACACAGATTTAGTCGAGCTGCAAGACACACCGATGTACATCAATCAATCATAAATTAATTAAGAATGCAAAACTCATCAACTGGAAATACCATCTGTGTTCAAATGACCATGTGAACAGTTTACAGATGAAAATGCATTTACTCAGGAAATTTCAACTACTACGATTTTTGTTTACTAATCTTTTCATAAAACGTAACACATCGTGAGCTGTTAATTTCCACACATTCTATATGTACATCGCCAAAGCTATGTGGGACACATACATGCTTTTAAATGCTTCTCTCAGCATGTGGACGAGGATTTTAATATGGTCTTATCACAAGATGAGCAGATATTATCTTGGCCAGATTGAATGTTCAACCTAACAGCAATTGGTAAGCATGTCAATACACTATATCGTGTGGATTGAGACAGAAATTAGAAAATGACCATGACTTTAGAATGCTTCTCCAGCATTTAAAATTCTACAATACAAACCATCATAGTGTATTGCCGTCGCCGCTCAATGTCGTACTGAGTGAGCATCAGTAATTTGCGACGCTTGTAAAACCCGTGAAACTTGAACTTGGAAGTGCAAGTCACTCGTGTTTGCATGCATAGTCGCGGGTACTTTATCT